GCCGGCACAACAACGACAGCAAATTTTCATGCGATTACTGCCGAGAGACATTCTCATCAAGTGCAAAGCTTGCCCGCCATGTTGTCACACATGCAGGCAGCCGACCATTCACCTGTAAAATATGTGCTAAATCCTTTATATTAAGTCATCATCTTTCACAGCATATGGGTATCCATGCTCCTGAAAAACTGTTCACTTGCCACCACTGTGCTAGATCGTACACTCGACGTGATTCCCTGGATGTCCACATGCGTGTCCACACTGGGGTACGGCCATATGGCTGCTCATCTTGCTTCAAGTCGTTCCCAACAAACGTTCAGCTTACAAGACACTTGAGAGGTCATGCAGACAGGCAGTTATAGTACTCATTTTGCAAAAAATATGTTTGTGACTAATTCACAGCTGTGAAGATACTTGAAGTCTCATGGCAGTAGATCAGAAAAATAATAAACTTACAAAACATGTAAACAGTTACAAAATGAAATGCAATGACTGTCTCCAAGTTCCGAAAGGAATTCTCTACCTCATACTGGAAAGGGAGAATCCTAATTTCTTAACCAGTAATCTCAAACTGCTGTATAGAAATCTAACAATCCTGTTCCCACATAATTCTGAGCCATTTAATGACTCCATCAGTATCAAGACTATAGAAACTTTTTGAGAATCTGGTGCTTTCTTTGGCTAGTGAAGAAATCCCGTGTTTTCCTTACTCAGTGCAGACAGATGCCAGGATAATTAATACCCCAATTAGGCCATGACCATTTCCTTCCATATCCTTCCCAATTCATCAGTCATTGTACCATTCAGTGCTGTATAGTTTAGATCAGGAGTAGCCAAACTTACTGAACACTGGAGCTTGCAAGCCACAGTTTTGCCACATGTATTCTAGATTCTGACAGAATCATAAAAAAAGTGAATCTCCTCATCAAGCAGTTCTGTCCATGTCTTTCTCATGGTTCCAAATACTCTCAGGTGGCATGCGGTAGTGTAGTTGTTTGAGGCACTGTGCTACACGTGAGAAGGTCATGAGTTCGATTCCCGATGAGGTCATTGGATTTTACAGTTGACTTAATTTTTCCAGCTGCACTATGGCCCTGGGGTCGACTTACCGCCATCTCTGAGCCGATTGTCTAGAAAATGTGGGAGCCTTAAAATCTCACAACCCTATGGGCTTCCATGGCCTGTTACAGGGATAGCTTTATCAAATATTCTCAAAAACCCTTCATATCCATTCTTCCCTTAGGGTGAGAGAACAGGTTTCACACCCATATCAAACAAGAAAAATTGCCCTTTGTATGTGGTTTAATCCTTATACTCCTACATAAGATGAGCAGGGCAGTCGCCATGGAACCCAGAATTTCATGGTGACGATTAGAATATTCTTCTGTGACATTACAATCAGCACATGACCTGCAAAAGGTGATGAGAAAATCAGTTTCATTCTTCCTTCAGTTTATCACTTTTGTATCTTTGTCTCCCTTCTCTTCCCATTTATTTATCCACTCTATCATTATTCCTCTCCCTTCATCTACCAGTGGCACCTCAAATTCTCTCCAAGTATGAAAGTACTTGGCCATTGTTTACTTGCAGATGTTTCATTTGTCTTTTGTTACTAAAAACAATTCAGTTTCTGATCTAAGGTACTCTGTTGTTGTTACTTTGGCTCCTTGACTTGTAGGAAATTTGTGCAGGTCTGGGTTGGGAGGAGATTAAGAGTCAGCTCATAACTTCTTTCACATGCTATGTGCAGTTCTGTTGATATTATGAGTATGGTTTTTCTGGGATGTGATTCAGTTTTTGGTTCAGCGGTGGTGTCAGTAGCTCATATTATATAGTACCAGATGGTAGGATGATTAGCAGATAATGAATTTTATAATGTTGCATCATGAGGATATAAAAAATTAGAAATTATCACTATTGTGTCACGCTTTATTTCTGTAAATTATAGTCAGTTCCATACCATGTTTCAGTCATATGACCATCATCAGATGGGAAAGGATGTAGAAGGAAATGGTCGTGGATTAATTTGAAGTGCTATTCCCAGCATTTGCCTAGAGGGGATGAGGAGCAAAGCCTCATGTTTCGAATATGTTCCTTCTGTTGCCTCTCTGTGTGAGGGCTCTAAGGCTGTAAAGCAGGAAGGCATAAGACGTTATGAATGTGTGGCATCAGCAGTATTATGGAATGTATACAGGAAATGTTTGCCATATGATCTCACATCCATCTTGTCAGAAATGCTGGAAACTGTCAAGCCAGTTACACAAAAATGTGGGGGACAAAATTAATGTTATATGTCTGTCATTGTGTAAGTATGTTTGCTGATAAAATTTGTGGCATGCCACCGTGTTGTTTGGCATCCTGCTGCACATGTAATTCACACTGTGGCAGTTTCTTCTGCCAGTAATGTTCTATAATTAGCTCTTTATTCCTTCACATTTCATAGTGTCATGGCTTAGTGGGCTATCCTGCCATCCGTAACCTTCTGTAGTATCTGTCATGCTTGACACTGGCTTCAAACATCATTAATGCTTAATTTGGAGAGACTTTGGATGTTTAATGATATTTTGTAGAAGAGAAATGTAGTTTGTCTGAGGTAGCTTTTCTGGAAACAACACCTCTGTAGTTAGCAGGGGATTGATGTGCACTAATATTGTTTGTTGGTGGAGAATAAATTAGATCTTCACCTCACTTTATTCATTGGTACAACTCCTGTACTACTTGTTTTGATCTTCAAATTCATGTTAGACATTCAAGATTCTCACAGTAGTGAATATTAAAATTCCCATCTTCAGGGATTTGACTGCATATAGTCTGGTACACTTACCACACTACATCATATTGTATCTCCCCTTGTGGACAGTAAACAAATTTAGTTTTGCATTATATAAGTTACACAATGATAAGGCCTTTATATGTAGTCAAGAAGTGGAAACAAACATTTTGAAGTCTGCAATATTGAACCTGAAGATTCACAACAAGTAACTGAAATGTTTCTTCTACAGCTGGAATAAAGCATACAGTACATTTATGTATTCTTAAACATGTAGTAAATATTGTAATTGCTGTCATTACAATTACATGACCTTTCAGTTATGGTGTCTGTTGCACAGAAATAATTCTTCCTTGCAGCCTTAAAACTTTCTTCTTAAGCTTTTCAAGTGACACACCTCTTTCATACTTTTTGCAGGTATTCAAATCAGTATTTCACATTTTACATGCATTGTCTATCTTGGAAAGAGGATTAACTTATTTTCTTTGAACAGGTGTGCAAATCAAAATGTCTGAAGAACACAATAACATTATTCAATTCAATTCAATTTTATTTCATCCATGGATCATTATACATGATATGGGACAAGTCAAAGATTAATATTAATACTAATACTAAATAATAATACAGAAATAATATGACAATATAATAATAAATGACTATAATAATTTAGCAGTCTTGAAAACAGTTTCTGTGGTCTTGAATCCTCCTTAAGATGGCACCAGGCAGATAATTCCCAGAAGCAGTCACGAAGTGTTATTTCCTGGAGAGATAAATGAACTGAGCAGTAAGCGTTCTCATGACTTATATTATTCAACACTATGAGGCTAATTGATTCTTGGAATATATAATTTAGACTGACTAGAACTCTTTTCTAAAAAATAAAATACTCGTCTACACTGTAAAAATAATAAATGAACTGAGCGGTAAGCGTTCTCATGACTTGTATTATTCAATACTGTGAGGCTTAATTGATTCTTGGAATCTTGGAATATATAATTCAGACTAACTAGAACTCTTTTCTAAAAAAGTAAGACACTCGTCTACACTGTAAAAGCAATGATCAAACAGGAAGTTTTTCAAAGCATTCTTGAATCTGTATAGTGCTGGTGTCTCCTTGTAATACGGTAAATGACTGAACATACGAAGTCCATTATTAATAAAACTGTCTTTGCATAAACTGGTATTACGTGAAACAATATACAGGTCATCTTTTCCCCATGTATAATATGAATGTATTTTCGAATTGGTTGCAGGAGTATTCAAATTTGATTTTCTGTATACCAGAGTTTCATAAATATACAAGCATGGTAAGGTCAATATATTTAAATAATTAAAATACTGTTTACAACTAGTAGTTTTCTGAATTTGCATCATAGCTCTAATAGCTCTCTTTTGCAACTTAAAAATCAATTTAGCATTTGGTGAGTTGCCCCAGAATAGTATTCCATATGATAACAAGGAATGAAAGTAGGCATAATATAGAGTACGAACAGACTCCAGCCCTGATACTCTTTTTACTACTCCTAGACCAAAGCATATTTTACATAACTTTTTTGCCAGTTCCTGGGTATGCATTGACCACCTTAAACTCTTATCTATCCAAACACCCAGAAATTTTGAATGTTCTGAATATTTAATGGATGTATCATGAAACTTTATTGGAGGGCATTGAAAATGTAGATTTTGAGGCTGGTGAAAGGATATTGCTATTGTTTTCTCTTTATTAATGATTAATCTATTCATTTCAAACCATTCAAAAAGTTTATTTACTGTTTCCTCTACTTTACTCTGGACACTGTCTATACTATTTCCTGTTATAAAAATAGCAGTGTCATCAGCAAAAAGCGTTGGCTTTCCATGCTCTATGCTAGATTCTAGGTCGTTAATATATATAAAAAATAACATTGGTCCGAGAACAGAACCTTGTGGAACACCATATCTTATTGGTTTCTTTTGTGATAAACAATTAGTAATTTCATTAGTTTCTTTATGTCTATAGGTAGTTTCCACCGTTTGTTCCCTGTTTTCTAAATATGATTGAAACCAATTTTGTGCAACCCCTCGTATTCCTATTTCTGCCATTTTTCCAAGCAAGATGTCATGATCTACTAAGTCAAATGCTTTTGACAGATCCAAGAATAACCCTATACTTATTTCCCTCTTGTCCACAGATTTATAAACCCTTTTAAGAAACTNCAGTGTCATCAGCAAAAAGCGTTGGCTTTCCATGCTCTATGCTAGATTCTAGGTCGTTAATATATATAAAAAATAACATTGGTCCGAGAACAGAACCTTGTGGAACACCATATCTTATTGGTTTCTTTTGTGATAAACAATTAGTAATTTCATTAGTTTCTTTATGTCTATAGGTAGTTTCCACCGTTTGTTCCCTGTTTTCTAAATATGATTGAAACCAATTTTGTGCAACCCCTCGTATTCCTATTTCTGCCATTTTTCCAAGCAAGATGTCATGATCTACTAAGTCAAATGCTTTTGACAGATCCAAGAATAACCCTATACTTATTTCCCTCTTGTCCACAGATTTATAAACCCTTTTAAGAAACTCTGCAATTACAGTATTCGTTGATTTCCATTTACAGAAGCCATGCTGTTTATCACTAATTATACTATGGCTTTTTAGAAATGATAAAGAGTCTTGTCTGCATGATTTTTTCAATTATTTTTGAGAAAACAGATCAGCGAAATTGGTCTGTAATTCACAACTTCTGTATCAAGTCCTTTTTGGTACAATGGTTTCACTTTTGCAATTTTTAACTGGTCTGGAAAATATCCAGTTGAGNAACCCCTCGTATTCCTATTTCTGCCATTTTTCCAAGCAAGATGTCATGATCTACTAAGTCAAATGCTTTTGACAGATCCAAGAATAACCCTATACTTATTTCCCTCTTGTCCACAGATTTATAAACCCTTTTAAGAAACTCTGCAATTACAGTATTCGTTGATTTCCATTTACAGAAGCCATGCTGTTTATCACTAATTATACTATGGCTTTTTAGAAATGATAAAGAGTCTTGTCTGCATGATTTTTTCAATTATTTTTGAGAAAACAGATCAGCGAAATTGGTCTGTAATTCACAACTTCTGTATCAAGTCCTTTTTGGTACAATGGTTTCACTTTTGCAATTTTTAACTGGTCTGGAAAATATCCAGTTGAGAATGACAAGTTAATTATGTATGTCAAAGCATGTGTTATCTTAGGATAACATTTCTTAATAATATAATCTGAGATTTCATCTACACCGGTTGATTTTTTGTTATTAAATTTTTTTATTATGCCTGCCACTTCTACTTCTGTAGTTGGATTTAAAAACGTACTACCACTGTTATATTTTTTTGCATTGACATTAACTTCAATATTTTTTTGTAGTGGATTTCTATTCAAGATATCGTGAGCAATGCTGGTATAATAGTCATTAAAGACATTAGCTATGACTTTTGGATCCTGTGTATTTGTCCCATTTACATTTATTTCAATATTCCTAGTTTCTTTTTTATGTTTGCCTAACTCCTGTTTAATTAGGTCCCACATAGCTTTAGATTTGTTTCCTGCTGTATTTATCCGTATGTTATTAGATAATTTCTTGGCCTCGCTAATTACTCTGTTGTAAATTTTCTTATACCGATAGTAATATTGTTTGAACTCTTCTGACATGTTTCTTTCTTTCATTAATCTATTAAGAAACCTGAGCCTGGTGCTTGATACCCTTATACCTGAGGTAACCCATTTATTTCCTAGTTGATTAGTTTTTACCCGCTTTTTAGGCATAGCTATGTTATAATAATACTGGAAAGTACCTAAAAATTCATTATATGCATCATTTACTGAAGTTTGCCTAAAAACAGGTTCCCAAGACTCCTCCTCCAATAGGTAGTTTAGGTATTGAACATTCTCTTCAGTACAAGGTCTAACTGTCCTGAATTCTTCTTTAACTGCAGCTTGCCTCCTTTTATTTATATGCTGCATCTGTACTTGTAATATTTGCGCAAAATGATCAGAGAATCCTGTTGCAATTACCTTAAAGTTGTAATCCCATAAGTATTTATTTAATATTATTTGATCTATCGCTGTTTGACTTCTAAATCCTATTCTTGTTGGGACATCAACTATTGCTTGTAGACCGTATGAATTTAACATTGTCTGTAATTGAGGATTTACATTGCTACCCAAGAAATCTATGTTGAAATCACCTACAATAATAATGCTCTTCCTTTTGCTTATTATATTATTTATTATAGTATCCAGGATTTCAATAAATGTATTAATATTACTATTAGGAGTTCTGTAGATACAAATAATAATTGTATTAAACTTGGTAAGTTCAACCATACTGGCCTCGAAGTGTTCTTCTTGGATCATGCTTTCAAACAGATTATAGGGCTTTGCTTCTAGATTTGATTTAATATAAATACACGAACCTCCATGCCGTTTGTTTTTCCTACAAAATTTTGAAACAAGGGAATAGTTTTTAAAATTATAATAATCAATTTGATCTTCTCTCAACCAATGTTCAGTAATGCATAAGACATCCAAATTTAATGCTTTATCAGTTAGTAAGACTTCTAAACTTAGCTTTTTGTTGTTTAAACTTTGTACATTTTGATGAAATATTTTAATATTGGTACTTATTTTATTAATATGTTTGAGGGTACCAGCACTATATTGATCTATAAAAAATCTTTACTTAACTTTACTGGGGGCCTCCTCCTTCTAGTTGACATGCGTACTTTCTGTTGTTGAGCTCCTGTAGATGGTGCCATACAGTTGGGAGATGGGTTTGCTGAAGTCCTCTCCTCTTGTTTCCCATGGTTTACTGCAGCCTTATCGTGGACAGTGTCTTCTTTGTATTTTAATGGGAGAGCATTAACTACTGCTCTGAGCTTCTGTTGAACCAATTCTGCCATACAGTTGGGAGATGGGTTTGCTGAAGTCCTCTCCTCTTGTTTCCCATGGTTTACTGCAGCCTCATCGTGGACAGTGTATTCTTTGTATTTTAATGGGAGAGCATTTACTACTGCTTCGAGCTTCTGCTGAATCAATTCTGCTACCTGTTGACACATTTCCCTTTTTCCTTTGCTATTTGTGTGCAGCCCATGTCGTGTGAAGTGCTGCCTATTCAGGTTTACTCTTATAACTGATACATGTTTATATAATTTCAGCCTTTTGGCTAGATGTCTATTGAATGACTTAACCTCTTTGTTAACACATGACCAGTCCACTAAATCATGTCTGCGCAGTACCTCCATAACCATGATGTTGGTATGACTGTTCCTCCTTACAAAGTTAATTATAGTACTTAGGCCTTCCTTTGCACTGTTTTTACTAATATCGTTAGTACCAGCATATACCACTATAACATCAATCTCTGACATGTTTTCCTCCATATTAGTGGCTAGTATATCACTGGTCTTAGCACCCGACTTTACTAATCCACTGACACCAAACTCTTTATTTAAATTCTGTTTTAATAGGTCTGCACAACCTCTTAATTGACTATCCCCAAGTAACAAAACTTTGTGTTTCCTAGGCTTTTCTTTTGCAGCACCATAAGCTATAGTTGATTTGCCTTCTTCCTTTGTAGCAACCGGAAACATCTCCAAGGGCATCACGAAGCGATTTACCACCAGTGGTATTTTAAACTGTTTAAGCTGTTTTGGCCGTACTACAGACCATCTTCCGTCCTCTATTTTCGAAGGCGATTTGGGTGTAATACGTCTAGTTTCAGTAGGGTTAACTTCGATGATGATAATAATTTCTTTCAGTGACTGTAATTCACGTCTTGCCTTTTCCAGTTCTTCTAGCAGCTTTGCACAACACTGACACTGCACTTTATTGCAATATTTAAATTCACTGTTTGCCATTGTTTTTCAGTTTTCAACAATATGGCGGAAAATGTCCTATTGACCGAAATAAACCGTTATTTTGTAATATAATTGAGGAGCTCTCAGAACTAGTGTACACCACTATGCGATCGATATTGGGGTGAAGGAAACACTGAACAGACTTCAAGTGAGTATATTTGCTACTGGCCCAGTGGGCATGTTACACACAGTATATTCAGAATTGTTTCTGAAAGGATTAAAAGTAACCCCTAGGTCTAGAGCATTATGTATGCTGGTATGGAGGAAACACTTGTAGCAGAACTTTGGCCCCACATTCAGGTTCAAATCCTCTTCGAGCTACAAATGCCAATATAGTTGAAGGTCTCATATCTTAATATAGAAAGAAGAGTTTGTTCTTTATACATTTCTGCATCCATTGCACCTATTTCAACCAAATTTGGAGTGATGGTAGAGCATGTCCCTACGAAGAAGGTTTCAGACATTTAAAACCCTGAAGATTTTGAGTAAAAAAAGGACAAATTTGTCCCTGTGCTTAATTAATTAAGCACTATGCCATGACATGGGGAGTTATAGATCATGATATACTTCTTGAGAAATTGGAGCATTATGGAATAAGAGGGAATGCCATAATTTGGTTAAAATCCTACCTTTCTCTACGTTCTCAGTATGTCGAAATAACTTCAAATGACAATAAATATCGTAAGAAGAGGTATAATTCCTCATTTAAGAATGTAAAATTTGGTATACCCCAGGGTTCCATCCTGGGCCCACTGTTGTTTTTACTTTATATAAATGATTTACCCTATCATATATTTGACGGTGAAGTTGTCCTTTTTGCAGACGATACTAACATATTGGTAACAGATAAAAATATAAATATTCTCCAAGATAAGATAGGAGAGGTGATGATCCAGTTAGAATCGTGGTTTTCAAAAAACAATTTGATTATAAATACGGAAAAGACCAAAGCAATGCTGTTCCAATTAAACAAATCATACTATATGTCTGAGCCAGAAATCACCTTCAAAAATATGAAAATTAGTTATACCTCACAGTTTAAATTTTTAGGTGTTAATATATCAAATAACTTAAAATGGAGCTCGCATATTCAATCTTTATGTCTAAAATTAAATAAGGTGTGTTATATTATAAAATCCTTGAAAGATGTAGTGAGTTTCTCTACGCTCAGGAATGTTTATTTTGCTAAATTTCAGTCCTTAATAAGTTATGGTTTGATTTTTTGGGGGGGAGAGTGTGAAAGCAGTAAAATACTGAAAATACAAAAAAGGATACTTCGATTAATAAAAGGCGTAAATAGTAGAACTACATGCAGACCAATCTTTAAAGATCTAAAGATCCTAACTGTTACCTCTCTGTACATCTTTGAGGTATTGTGCTACTTTCAGAAATTTAATCTGTATACTACTAGAAATTCAGATTTATATGAATATAATACTAGAAGAAAAGAGGACTTCCATGTACGAAGCTGTAGCACATCTACCTCTAAAAAAAGTGTCATAAATATGGGTATTAAAGCTTACAATAGATTGCCTTTGAAAATAAGAAAATTAAATGGATTCAAAGATTTTAAATATAAATTAAAATTATTTTTACTTGATAACCCATTTTATACAATGAAGGAGTTTCTCTTTGAGGGACTGCAGGATGAATAGAGAAACTCTGCTCAAAATCCTTAATGATGATTTGATGATGTGTTTTTATCCTTGATGAGTATGGTTGTGATGGTTACTTTAGTAACTTGATTTTAAAGTAGTATTTTTAAAGTTGGTCGATTAAGCATAAAGGTAAATAAACTTGAAATTAACTTATTTATATTTAAAATAAATCCAAAATTTGTGTACTTGTATTCTGTATTGTAGTTTTAATTAGAGTATGTCTCTGTTGACATAGGAACCCTTTAGGCCGTGGGCAAAGGATTCCTGAATGATTGTACCACATGTTTTGACTTGTCCATGTGTTACTTTGTAACAGTTACGGATGTTAATAAAGATGATGATGAGGTACAGCTCCACCGTTCTCGACTTTGGTACTAAATGGAGGTGAGTGGTCCACTTCACAGCCTGGCCACTTTATCCCTGGAGAAAGAGCCTCAGTACCCATTGAATAGGAGGCTGGGTCAGCCCCAGATTCAGTCTGGACACTGTGGAGAAGAGAAAAATTTTGCCCTGCTGGGAATCGAACCCAGGCCATCCAGCCAGTCACTATCCAAACTAATTTTAAGTATAAAAAAATTTTGGAACCCCTTTGTAGAAAAGTTTTTGTATACTGATCAAGAGCAATTTGTTTTAGCAAATTTAGGGTTTTTTTTCTTTGCATCCTATACAGCTTAGGAAAACTTGCCACACTTCTGTATGTGTCTGTTATATAGTTTTTGAGATATTAATTCCAAGTTTTTGAAACATAAATGATAACTTTTATTCTGTGCTGTCAATCTTGCACTCTTTGCAACTGTGCAAGTTCCCTCACCCCCCTTCCCCAAGCTGTATTAAATGAAATAACTTTCCAGTATATTATTGCACTTCCAAATTAGACATGTGCAGTAACGCTTGGGCATAGAATATGCTTTTCCATTCCCTTACAGAAATGTAAAAGATAATGATAAGTGCAGTGATGATGATGATATACCAGCTCACCTAAGTTTTAGTTTTATAGAACATAATGCAGTGAAATAATTCCCAGATTTTGTTGTGTTAAAATGGAAGAAAAACTGAATAATGGAAAAATGTAGCACTATAGTTTTGCAAGTCCCCAACAGTTGTATAGGGAAGAAAGGAAAGTACACTTGATACTTGATAGGTGATACTATAAGGAACACATAATTTAAGGACTTCCTGTCATTGTTAAATTTCAGTGATCCCAAAACATTAGTCTCAATAAATCTCATTATTTTAATATTTAAATCCACTGGTCTTCCCTAGAAACAGCCAAATTTTTGGCAATTAAGGGTTTCTTCAGAACGTTCCCTCCTGTCCATATCTAAACCAGTATGATGAGAATTATGGTACCAACTTTTATTTTATAGATTAAACCATGATTTTTTAGAATTTCTTAGAAAAATCACCACTTTTACCATTTTTTGATGCAGAGGCAATGTAGGATGGACAGAGAGATATTGACTGCTCTTTGTGCATGAATGTTCCATTAAAGTCAACCTCAGAAGTGTTGTCATTCCACTTGTAGGTGTAGTAGCAGGATGTCATCTCAGCAACAGAAGTCAAGAGCTTTAATAGTTTTAAGTGCCATTTATAGCTTGACATATGCTACTATTTTGCAACTTGAAAAATAATAAATTTCAATAATCTAGTTTATTTCATTGACCTGTTATCATTGTGTGAGCTTCCCTTATATGATTACACATCAGTGCTTCCCAAAGTGAGAGCTCCAAGCTCCCAAGGGGCATGAAGCCTATTTCAGGGGCTGCAACAAAAAAATTGGAAAATAACAGAGATCCTGAATTAATTTTACCGTTAAAGCGCAGCATTATATGACACAAAATTCAATAGAAAAAATGCTTCATTCACATGATTCAGATTCATTCATGTTTTTGAAATTGCTTCATCACATTCTAATTCACTTACATAAATTGGGGGGACCTCAGATTTTTTATTAACTTCAAGGAAACAAACTGAAAAAGATGGAACCACGTTCTAGAGCGACCCTCCATCTCCTGTCTGTCCCAGTTCATATTAGACATTGACAGAGGTCCTATTATCCAACTTAAATGGAATTTAGGTGAAAACAGCATGTCATCTCTACCAGCTTATTTGGAGAGAACCATCCAGAATAAATTTTGTTTCATCCTGCTGGGTAAGTCATTATAGACAGTGTTCATTGTATTTGTTGTCAACAGAATACTATCTCCAACAGATGGTGGGTGCTGTCTAAGCCATGTTTCGGCACATGCATGCCATCTTCAAGTCCTGTTTATGATTACAGTTAACATAAATTTATAAGCAAGCTGAGTAGATATATATGCTATATACAGTATAATATAGTAAGTATATACAGGTGGATCCAATAAATTTCTGCTAAGCGTATATGTCAACTGCAACTACAAAGAGGACCTGAAGATGCCACATGTGTGTCAAAACATGTCTTAGACAGCAATGGGCCAGATGGGCATTGCGTAGTCCTTTTTTGTATTCACAATTATTTTACACAATAAAAAAAAATTAGACAGCAACTGCAGCTGCTGGAAACAGTGTTCTGTTGACAACAAATACGTTAAGTATTGTCTATATTCAGCCTCACTGCTGTGCTGAGAAAGTAACAGAACAACAAAACAGTTGAGAAACACTGCTCTATGGGAACCATCCCTAATGACAAATTCTAATTTTACAGAATTCTTGAGTAACATTCTGTAATTATGTGAAACAGGAAAATGCTTTAATTGTGCAATACACTTAGCTGACAATACCTACTGTACTTACAAAAACTGCTATTCCTGATAAAGAATCTGCTGTACATTGTTGTGTGTACTGCAGAGTATGGGCACCTGGCAAATTGACAATGCAGGGTGGAACTACTGTGAATCTTGTTTTTCTTTGGGATTTACAAGCTCTGGTAACATAAGCATTCCTGACAAATGGTGTGTAGTGTGTTACAAGGTGTCACCTAATTGTTGTTTCATGCAAGAGGTCATGGGCATCTTGAAACCACTTATCTAGAATGTACAGCCAAAGGCATATGTTTTTGTTTCCAGCAAAAGCGTGAGGAATTATTAAGAACTAGTCAAAAACTGATAATCAAAGTAGTAAAAATGGACAATGAAAATGCAAGGCAGGCCGCCTACAGGCTGAATTACCACATTGCACTTGTAGGCAAAGCTCACAAAGTCACTGAAACTTTAATTAATTCCTGTGCTGTTGAGTGGCAGATTGTATGTTAGATAAGCCTGCAAGAGAAGATACAGTTGTCAAACAATACTGTTCACCACATTCAAAATCTATTCGATGATACAGAACATCAGCTAATGACAGGACTAAAATCATGTAATGGTTTCTCGTTGTAAATCAACAGAAGTATCTGTACTGGTCCCGTTACTTGTTACATGTTTCTTACTGTTACCAAATTATACAACCGAGGAAAGCTTACTGCATTGCCAGTCTCTTGATAGTCATACTACAGATGAACAAGTTCTTTTTATGTCCCCAACACCTGCACAAAAGAACATGAAATCAGATAGTGAAAGTTTATTGATCTGTGTACAGATGCAGCCATATTAATGATAGGGGAAAAGGTGGGGGTGGTAGCCAATACCAAAACTTTGGTACAATCTTGTTTCAGCAGTCACTGCATGCTTCACTGATAGGCAATGTTGTAAAAAGATGCAAACAAGACTGAAATATATGTTGGATGAATCCTTAACAATAGTACATCACATCAAATCCAAGCCCCCATACTTCCAGATTGTTACAATTGTTTGTGATGTAATGAGAAATGGACACAGGGAACTGCTGCTTCACACAGAACTAAGGTGGCTATCAAGGGGATAAGTGCTCATCAGAGTTTCTGATCTCTGTTCAGGAATTTCTGCCTTTGTAGAGGTATAATCGTCCAGTGATTGAGACTAGCTCTTTCTAATGGGCCCAAGTGAGTAGGTTTCTCCTGCCCCATCCACCTGAGGATGGAGTCTCCAAAATGTTGTGGTTTTTGTCTTATATATACCAGACGATGGATAGAGTCCAAAATAAGCTTAATAGTTCTGTACAGGAACAATCTCATCTGCCACATGGTTGCATTCATGAAGGCTAATGAACTAAACCTCTCATTGCAAGGAAGAAATATCTCAATATATACAGGGTGTCCCAGGAGGAATGTGCCAAACTTCGGGAGGGTGTTCCTTATGTTAAAGTATGCCGATATAACCCAAAACACCTATGTCCAAAGTTGAACGGTTACGGAGATAATGGCCCAAGAAAAGTGTGGTCTTCTGGCAGGTCCAAGCACTGTACCTCGCTGTACCTCTCAGCTGAGAGCCCTTATCTATGTTTGTCCTTGAGTGCGATGATACTCCCTAGCCGTGCTTATGTAGTTGGCTCATACCAGAACGCGCAGTCAGCACGTTACGTCATCGCTCGCCAGTCATGTGTTATGTATACTGCTTGGAAACCTAAGGACAATTATGACATGGCGAGCGAGTATTTTGTACTTCACTTTTATGGCTTTCCGTCACTCACAAGTTAGTTTGATGTTACGTACATTATTAACATTACAGAATCCACATATTCCTGCCAGTTTTAATATGTATTTTGTAATCAACAAGTGTGTAACCCCGGTCAAAGTTTGACACTTCTCTGGCCATTATCTCCGTAACCGTTCAACTTTGGACATAGGTGTTTTGGGTTATATCGGCATACTTTAACATAAGGAACACCCTCCCGAAGTTTGGCACATTCCTCCTGGGACACCCTTTATAACTACAGACAGGATTTCTTCTTTCCAGTGTAAGTTAATAATATGGGGCAAGGGTACAGAAAAGAATAAATTTGAATGTTTTCCCAGTTTAAATGAATTTCTGGGAGAATATGAAACCGACTTGGAGAAAATGTTTTCAGTGGCATGATCCACTGCATCATAAAACTTTTGGATCACATCTCCCTTTAGTACACAGGACATCCTGGGTGGAAAATCCATTTTCAGTTATGGAGATACCAAACATGTCAATGCAAGATTTTTTTTATTGCCAGTGTGTTGGGACTAAGTCCCTTGTACTGTGGCCACTTCTGGCATACTGTACCAGCCCCAGGTGATAGGTGAGGGTGATTGTGGGGCAATTGGTGGAGTGAAGATTGGCACGGGAAACCGAAGTACTCTGAGAAAACCTGCCCAGCACCACTTTGTCCACCACAAATCCCACTTGACCACACCTGGGATTGAACCCAGGAAGCCAGCGACTAATCGCTTGAGCTATGGTGCAACCCTAGTGCAAGACTTAGTAAGTAGGCTTTGATTTCCTCTGACTTCACATTGAAACAAAAAGTCAAGGAACTACCATTGGCTGAATTTTGTTAGTGTCCTTGAAGAATATCTGACAGCATCTTACTCTGCAAGTTTCCTGGAATCTATTTGTATGATGCTGGATTTTCACAACATGTAGCCACAAGAAGTATCAGAATGGACTGAATATACGTCTCTCTACCATCACTTCAGATTTTCAGTGACACAACTTTCCTCCACAATAACACAAGCTAAAATGAAACAGTAATATCCACCTGTTTTCTTTATTATTACCATAACGCCCATTTACATTAATAATGGAAATGGAAAAGAAAAAAAAAAAAACAAGACTGTTGGAAGTCCCATGTAATTTCACTTGAGACCAATACGTTCAAATGAATTTGACAGCAATGAAGAAAGCAGTCTTCTGGGATTTGGCACCGTGTATATGTGGTGTTAACCGACGTTTCGCAGGAACGTATCGCCTCCATCTTCAGGGTAGAAGAAAAAATATAAGAAATCTGCAAGCTAAGAGACCGTGAGAACCGGTAACAACACTTTGCTTCCTGGTTTTCGATCAAGTCATTCTTCTGATTTTTGGTATGTCACAAAATAATTTTTGATAGGCTGCGTTTTATTGCTCTGGGGCTCTGTTTCTTTAAAGCCAAAACAGCTTTGTTACGTAAGGCGTATAAATTACTACAGTACACCATTGTACTTGGACAACTTGCACCTGACTTGAAATTTGGACCATTTGGACCGATCAACGGAACCTGACCATGGCTGACCATGGATCAAATACAAACCAGGATGACGTGATTAGTTGTATAACTCTACCCGCTCTTCCCCGTGTTTACAATGTTTACAATTTAAGAGTTCAGCGATATCTCGAAGATCTCGAAATATGGCCGTTAGTAATGTTTGTACTGAAAGTTTGTGTTATTATTTAATTTCAGTAAAAATTGTGTGTACCAAGAGTTACTTTTATGGAATCCAGGTGAGAAAATAGTCTGAGATAGGTATTCACGACTGGAATATTGTTCGTGATCGATACTGAGGTGAAAAGTCCAATAATGTCCATACACACAAAGAGTAGTTGGCTCTTCGTAGGTTAAGACATGCATGTACACGAAATGCCGGGAAACTGAATAAGGATTATTTTGCAGTTACAAAAAGAAGCCCCACTCTTCTTTTCCTGCTCGCACTTATGTTTATTTATTAATGTGAATGGTTTCGTCTCTTTACAGGTGGTCTGCTAATGGCCTATCATTTTACAGACAATGTCTATACCAAATCATTTACGCCGCGGGAATATCAAGTTAGTTACTTTTAATTAAATTGTAGTATTGTGTCTGAAGTATGTATGTAGCATAATTTTAAATCCACGGTTGTTTTACAGGTGGAGCTGCTGGATGCCGCAAAGGAACGTAATATCATTGTATGTCTTGGTACGGGTTCCAGTAAAATCTTCATAGCTACTAAGCTGATTCAAGAGTTGGCCAATGCTGTACGCAGGTTAGTAACCATCTGAATAATCCAGAGGGGAAGTTTTATATATCATATGTTTGCAAAGTGGACACAGAGAAAGAAGACATAGACATAGTACTGACAGAAAACACTCCCACGTTAACTTTTATCAGTATGTATATTTTTCATTAATTATTCTTTGACCATGTCTAATTACTGAATATTAATGTCAAGTGAGTAGCACTTGTGTTTCATATTCGGGAAGGTTCTTTGTTCAAGACTTGGAGACGAGCTATCCTGACCGAATGTTTTTTTAATTTTCCTCAGCCTTTTCAGGCAAATGTTAGGTTGGTACCTGAAATCAGGCTGCAGCAGCTTTTTTCCACATTGTGTAAAATTCATTTAATTGTTCACTAATGCTACCATTTAATCCTGTAGTACAGAAGCTGACAGTATCATTAAATAAACCATAAATAGTGTAAGCGCACAGTCTCTGATTCAGTAGTATACATGTGTGCTTTCATCTGTAACAATGCAAATGGAGTTTTGAAGTTTTATAATGCATAAATGTGATACTTTTACAATATTATAGGGCGGGTAACCCTGAGAATTTTAAATTTTAAAATTTGAAAAAATTTTTAAAGAAATTTTTAAAATTGGAATTGAAGATTTTAAAAGTGCCAGTTTATGATAATCAAATTGACGTGTGTAGGTTAACAAAAATTTTGTACATATCAGACAGATATCAGCGGGGAAGATTCTGATATATCAAACCTGTTAGCAACGGCGAAATGAACAATTGACAAGGCTAGTGTTTTAAACTATGTGCAGTGTAGCAGCTACGTGAGAGTATACACCTGATGATGGCCGTTTGCGGCCGAAACATGTAGTGTAGAAGAAAGCAAGACGAACTACAATAAATTGTTGCACTTAGGACGGAGTTTATGTCATATATTGTGATACTTTTACTTTGAAAATTGGATCTCTGTTGAGATTATGCTGTTCTAGGATGTGCCATAATGTAGTCTGATATATAGATTCCACGAAAACTTTGGCACCAAACTGTCATTACATCCCAGCTTTTAATATTCACCCCTGTGAGAACCACAAATCCTGAACATACTTTACTGATGTCTGCCATTTTGCCTGAGGTCTGCTTCTGCTGCAAGTGAAAGGAAACATTATGAACCTGTATCACAGTGGCTTCTGTGCATATGAAACGCATGGATGGGAGGTTAGTAGTAAAATGGATCTTGATAAAATTGGACAGGAAGTTTGTGGACACAGTAGTGAGCCTTTGGGTTTTGTAAAATGTTGGAAATATTTTAGCTTCTTAAGTTGGATTGTGCCCCCCCCCCATTTGGGTGGATGTATACATGCTTTTGTCTGTTATTTTGCAGAACAGTTATGTTTAAATGTAGAGATGTATACCAGCTTAGGAGTTTGAATATGTTGCAGGCCATTCCATCATGGTGGGAAACGAAGTTTGTACTTGGTGGACACAGTGGCTATGGTGGCGCAGCAGGCATCGTACATTCGCCATTTGACAGATCTCTGTGTTGGGGAATATGCTTCTAGTGATACCGTTGACATGTTCGATATTGACAGTTGGCTGCAGGAGTTGGAAGAAAATCAGGTATTTCTCATAACACAAGAAAATGCTCTTAAGACGTGTGTGGATTTCGTTATGGCAGGCTGCAGTGTGATTCCTCAAGGCAAATTCTGATATTAATACCCCTGTTTGTCCATGACCACTTTTTTCTAGATCCTTTCCAATTTATCACTGATGTGTCATCCTGACATTGGATGCTGTATTAGCTAGCTACTGACAGTGTTGTAAATTGCCACTCCTCATTGTGACTGGAGTTAAAGTCATAACATTCTATCTAGCATTCTGTCTGCAGAGTCAGTTTGTGTCTGGTTTAATGAAAAAGCGAACACAGCCTGAATTATTGTAAAATGGATTCAAATAAAAATAAAATGGTAAAGCTATTCCTGTAACATGTTGAGGCTCTGACATTTTCTAGACAATCAGCTCACAAATGGCTGTGAGATTGTTACTCTTATGCAATGGCTGGCTGCCTATTACCCTGCAGGAAGATTGGTAGTGAAGGTTATCACCACAAATATCTGTATGAACAGAATAGCTGGAGTGGAATATAGGGGAGTACACTGGAGAGGGAGGGGGTACTTTGTAGCCTCAGGACATTGCTGTACCTAAGTTTTGTGTTGAAGTGTGTATCATGTTTTAAGTGAGAATGGTATTCATTTTATTCATTGGCATCAGTTGATGATGTGCCATTTTTCTGATAGGTTTTGGTGATGACAAGCCAGATATGCTTGGAGATGATGAGGTGTGGGTTTATTCATGTGAACTACCTCAATTTGATTATATTGGACGAGTGTCATAGAGCTCTTCGAGACCATCCCATGAGACAGGTAAGATATTTCTGATATCTTTAGCCTGCTTTTCTTTCGTAAGGAAGGAAAGCAAGGTTATGAGATGGGAATGCCATGTGTGTGTGTCTTCCTTTCACCTTTTCTACCATTTGACCGAGTTATGAAATTTTGGTGTAATGCCATTAGAAGCCACCCCCATCACTGCGTACATTCTAATTTCTTACAGTCAATAATGAGAAAATGGTGGGGGCACAAACTTGATATGTGGGGAATAACAGTCTCATTTGATATGAATCATAGAAATACATAAACATCATGTTTGCAAGTGAGGGATTGGAAACCTGGCAGTGACGCAATCTGACAAATGCGATGTGGGAACTGCCCACATTCAAGCAAGTGTGACAACGTAAGCATCATTGCTTAGCAACGACGAGTAAACAACGGTTGCTAGGCAAAAGCATCTGTGAAGTTAAAAAATGGTAATGTTGTGCCTATGCTTAATTAAAAACCATACCATGAAGATGGATGGGGGAGTAGAGATACACGATGGGGTACCCAAAAGAAACCGAACTAATTTTTTTGTGGGCAGAGCTTTTGTAGTACCACGTTTTGCCGCTATGAGCGCATAGAGCTAACATTCCTGCGTCGATAAGCCGACTACCATTGCTTCAGAATGTAAGGACTAGTTTCGGCAGAGTTTATAGTGACAACTGTTTTGTGTGATCGTTGTTTTTGCAATGGCTGATTTTCGTGAACAGCATGCAGCGGTGAAATTCTGCTTTTTGTTCGGGAAAAGTGGAACAGAAACTCTTGAAATGTTAAAAACGGCGTACAAGGACGATGCTATGGGGAAAACTGAAGTGTTTGAGTGGTTTTCCCGTTTCAAAAATGGTGAAATGTCAATTGATGACATACCTCGTTCTGGTCATCCTTCCACGGCCCGAACACATGAAAATGTTGAAAAAAATTTGTGAAATCATCAAGGAAGATCGACGACGGACCATTGAAGAAATTGTGGAGCTGTCGGGAGTGACTTGGAGCTCAGAGGCCAGATTTGTGGCAGTCGGGTGACTGGTTTTTCCATCATGACAATGCCCCTGCTCACACAGCCCTGTCTGTATGACAATTCTTAACCAAAAATGGTATGACCCCTGTTCCTCACCCTCCATAATCACCCGACCTTGCCCCGTGCGACTTTTTTTTGTTTCCTCGAATGAAAAGAGACATGAAAGGAAAAAATGACGGAGGCGCTGTCAAGCATCTCAAAAGATGAATTTAGACAGTGTTTTGAAAAATGGAATAAAAGACTAGACAAGTGTATTAGTGTAAGTGGAGAGTACTTTGAGGGGGATTGAAGGTTTGTGCTTAAAATTTGAATAAATAAGTTTAAAAAAAAAAGTTCAGTTTCTTTTGGGTACTCCCTCGTAGCTCTGTGCATATTTAAAAGTTTATTTGACAGAGGTAAGCAGTGAGCATATTCTGGCCATTTTAATGTCTGAGAAAGAGCCCCTGGTACCCATTGAGTGGGAGACTGGGTAGGCCTCAGATCTGGTATATTCCTCCCCTCTCCCAAAATAAAACAAGAATATTAATGACAATAGATGCATATCACTAGAAAATCATGCACTGGAGACGTATACTCTGTGAGTTCTGCTTGGAATGCTTTGTTTATTTACAGGCTTTACATGTATTTTATTTGTGTTAATTATCTGTTTTTACTGTATATATACAGGGTGTATCACGACTTTAGGGCATAACTGCAGGAGGTGATTTCCAAGGTCTTTGTCATCAAAAAAGTTCATATAAACATATGTCCGATTTTGGACGGTTATGGAATTATGACCATTTAAAACTCAGAATAGAAGGTAATGATTACTGACAATAAACGGAACAAAATAATTAACCAGCATAATACATGATACATTTAAAGTATGAATGTAAAGTTAACTTTGTGAAATTACCTTTAATTTGAATTTATTGGTGCTTAAAGCTGATTTTCAAAAATGCCACCGCCGGCCACAACACAGGCTGCCGCTCGGTTGTGAACCGCACGGGTGGCACGTAGCAGCTTCAGCTGGCTATTTCTTATGTGGTCAGCGGTGTCCAGAATGTGACCAAGCAAAGCATCTCGCGTTGCCACCTTCACATTGTAAACCAGTTCTTTCATCCATCCCCACAAACAATAATCCAGTGAGCTTAAGTCTGGAGAGCTGGCTGGCAATTCTTTGTGTACTCGTACGTGGACTGCAGTGTACCATACGAACAATGCCTTCTTCATTGACGCCTTCATTAACACCATGCTCGGCTGCAGTACAAACGCCGGGAAGTTACCAGTATCTCGCAATGCCTGGTAAACTCCAGTAAACACTCTCTGGTTCGGTATTCTGTGATTCGGAAACCATTGCTGATATTCAGCTATGGCAAGAACTGAGTTACCATCACAAAACCCGTACACATAAATCATATCTGCATACTCCTCAAATGAAAATGTAAATGGCATCGTGAATGTAAGAGACCCACCAAGATGAGAACTGTTCTGAACGCCAGTAGCCGCCACACTAGCCGTGGCTGGACATAACAACCCACCACGCCTTAGGTACCTCTCAAGTGTCGAGCTAATGAGAATGCTCTGTCTGTAGCTGGTTAAAAATAGCGACCCGCCAGATGATAAACGCGGTTCACATGAGGGCGTGTACGGGAATGAAAAAACGGTCATAACTCTGTAACCATCCAAAATCGGACGCATGTTTATATGAACTGTTTTGATCACAAAGACCTAGGAAATCACCTCTTGCAGTTATGCCCTAAAGTTGTGAAGCACCCTGTATGTTCTCATTACCAGTGATAGTATTGTCACATGTTGGGTGTGTAACGCCACAAATAACTTCACACTGTCTTGGATGTAGCGAATTTATTGAACACTTGCTCTTACATTTACACAATTTACAGTTTCACAACTACTACCATCTGCAGTATCACAATTACTTCTGCTGCAGTCATTTCCATTCACTTGATACAACTCGGTAACAGTGGACTTCAACTCATACTGAATACTAGTAACTCAATACTCACTCACTACTGAATAGTGTTTGCTGCTCGGCAACAGATATCAGGTATTGTTGTCAGGTGTTTCTACCTATGCATTGTCTAGCAATAGTCATTGCACGGGCTTGCCTGTTGCGTGACGTCACAGCCTAGCGGGGAGGGGTGGTTACCGAGCATTGCGTAATGATGTAAGGCGTGGGGTATGTGACGTCACTCGCGAGAATGCAGAGTTCACGTGACCCTTTCCGTATTCCGTATTGAGGGGGTGGGTTTCCCCATGCACTTAGACCGGTTAGTGGTCCATTGTGTGTCCCCCTTTAATTTCTACTGTCTCGATACCCTACCGGTACTGGTGCTTACTATCAGCCCCTTTCTGCCAGCAAGGTTCCAACCTCCTCTGGCAGTGGTATCTAATAGTCCCTTTCTGTCAGGGAGGTTCCCCCTCCTCTTGCAGTGGTACCTAATACTTTCCCCATCTACCGGAGGAATTGGAAACTACTTGGGCGGGAAATGTTGCCTAATTTTGCTCAGAGGTCTCCTAGAGACATGAGGTTCTTTTACATGCCGTAAATCTACGACACGGGACCCACGGCTTAAAGTCCCTCCCTGACGACTTGTTCCCTGAATTTTTCCACCCTTAAAAATTCCACGACCTCCGCCGGGTTTTTGAACCCACGTACTACGAGTCATGAGGTGGGAACGTTACCTCTAGACTACGGAGGCCGCTTCACGTGACCCTTACTGCCTGTTGTGCTATCCATGTCACACTGCTCCCTTCTAAATGTTCGTCCCGAACAGCCTAACTGTACATTCCTGTTCCTTTTCTTTCAAGGCTGTTCTTGCTGCGTCTTCTTTTGGTTTGGCTACTCTTCTTGCAGTGACTATTCTCCTGCCATTACAGTATATTATTATTTTCTTCCCTCATGTTTCAGGTTATGAAAGAGTTTGTGTCATGTTGCAAGCAGACCCGAATCCTGGGCCTGACAACTCCTCTGTTGAAGAGCACGTGCGACCCAGGTCGACTGGAAGGCGAGATCAGGCGGCTGGAGATGGTGTTGCACAGTACAGCTGAGACAGCAAGTGACATTGTGTCTGTCCTCAGGTATAGCAGTATATACCATACGCATTTAAATGTCTCATGCCACAAGACTGCTTTTCTTTCTCACTTTCTGGTATAGTATTTGTGTAATGCCGATCACAGTGGCCATGCGGTCTAAGGCACAAAATGTCTTCTCTCACTAAAATGCTGGGATTGTGGGTTCAAATTCCACTCAAGGCATGGATGTATGTCTGCTTTTATTCTGTGTTTGTGTTGTCCTGTGTAGGTAGAGGCCTTCTGTCAGGCTGGTATCCCATCCAAGGACTCCTACCAACTGTCTAAGATCAAGAAACTGAACTGAAATGAAGCATTTCACAGATGCCCCATGCTCCCAAGATTTGTGTAATGCTTCCATATATTGTCTGTGTCAACCTTAGAAACCTCTGCTCACTCGACAGTGGTGTGTAATCAGGCACTGATAGGGTAGATTTCGTTACCTCAAGTGATGACAGTGGGGGTAGTCCACAGTTTAAAATGGGCCCCAGACCATGTTGAGGGGGAGGCACCCTACTCAGTATCAAAGTTTTATGTTTAATAGACGTAAAAGTTTCACTGTTTGAGCAGAACAGTCTACAGACATTTCACTGGGAATTGAATTTAGAACATTTTAAATCCATTATCTTTCCCTGAGATCTCTAGGTTCCCCCCACCACCCCCAAAGCAAAAATTCAAATTGTAAATGCTTTCACTGCCTCGGTTCACAGCATTACAGCAGGTGTTGGAAACAGTATTTTAGAAGCACAAATTTTGATACGGATATGGTGAGAAGGAGAGAGAGAGAGAAGGGGGGAGGGGTGAGAGAGAGAGAGACATACATACACACCTACATGTGTGTATGTATGTCCCTCATTTTCACCTTTTGAATCAGTTGACCAATTTGTATAGACATTGATATTGTAACGTGTTTCGTTACTGAATACGCCGTAGAGATCGTTAATTGGTTTATTGAACAATCTACAAGTAACGGCTACAATTACTTATCACACAGTTGCGGGGTTTCACACTTTATAACCCTAATCGCATTAATCTGTTAACACTGTTGCGGGGTTTCACGATTTATAACCCTATGCGCAAATCAGTTCAGTCTGTCTTCAGTAGTCTACACGTTTACAGTAGGGGAGCTTTGTATCACTGTATCACACGCTCCCAATTACACAATTACACACAGGTCCGGTTCTTCTTTCCGCGATGGCTGCTATACTCCAACTATAGTCGGCTGACTGGAGAACTGTTGATAACACACTCGCTCGTAGGCTTGCTCGGAACTAGTTCGGAACTGAGCTCGGCGATGGCCACCTTACAACTAACTCGCAGCCGCTTTGCAGCTCACTTATATAGCCGCAGTGCTTGCCTGTTGCATAATGAGTGCCACGTCATCCTGTTACGTCACTGCTGTTGACTTGCGTTGCATAGCTACCAGGTTGCGGGGGCTCGGCTAACTTCGGCTCCGCTCGTGACGTCACCGCGGGGAGAGTGGCGGGGTGATGACTCGCCTATTACGTGAGCGCTACGTTACCGCCACATGCCGCTGGGGAGGTAGGGGTCCTTCGTTGCGCAACATGTCACAATATGAATGTTATACCGTCCTACAGTCAGTAATAACAGCATGGCAGAATTGTGTTGTGGGCATCACTAGTGCCATGTCACATGTCACCCCTCTTCCTCTTCTGTCTCACTGGTATGCAGTAAATGCTGATACAGCCATGGACTCAATGAAGGGGGGGGTGCAAGGTTAACAGTACTTAAAAATAGTAGAAAAGTAAGTAAATAAAGTAAAGTTATCCCTGTGTTTACCTAATTATGCACCACACCATGAAGACATATGGTGGAGTACATGTATAGGTCCATGTTTTCTTGGCCTCACCACTAGTTGGAGGTCAGTGGTCAGTTTCAAGCCCTGGTTGCTTCATCCCCGGGGAAAGACCTCCGCTCCTGGTACTCATTGTATATATAGGAAGCTGGGTGGGCCACAGAGCTGGTGTGGATGAAGTGGAGAAGAGAAAATTCCTGACCCTCTTGGGACTTGAACTTTGACACCTTGGTTGTTCAGTCCGTAGGTAGTTGCTATAAGGTTCATTTCATGCATCCTGTTGTGTTACAATATACAAACTTTTTATTATATCTGTCACAACACAACTAATATCAAGATCAGACCATTTTCGGCCCTGCTACATGTTTCGGCTATTGATAGCCATCATCAGGCAAACACATGATTTACACACATATACACACTACTGAACCACAGCACCGACAAGATTGGATACAATATTATTAAAATATATAAGAACACTTGATGTAAAAAATACAAAAATCGAGTTATATAAAACAGAAGTATGATATAAAATAAGAATAAAATTCTGTTGGTGTTTTTACATCAATGTGTCAGTCATTGGTTTGTGATTTGTTTTTTGTTTCGTTTCCACGGACAAGTTGGAATATTCATACTTATGCATATATAAAATTGTAAATGAGGCTCGTAATGTAGATGTAGTAAAGTAAATTATAATATTATAAATATATAAATATAAATTTATATATTATAAATATACACTCAAGTGCCAAAAGTCATGGGATAACAGTATGTAAATTTATTTTTAAGTGGCGCCACTGTCCCATGATGGCTTTGAAATGCCCAGAGCATATCAGTTGTGAGATGTTCTCTCGTGAGTCAGGCTGAACACTGGCCAGTATGCTCATGGCAAGACGACGTGAATTATCGGAGTTTAAGTGGGGCATGATAGTGGGTGCCAGGCGGATGGGACATTCCATTTCCGAAGTTGTGCGGTCATTGAACATTCCTCGATCCATGGTGTCACGTGTGTACCGGAAATATCTTGTGGAAGGCATTTCCACCCACCATGGACAGCGCAGTGGCCGACCACGGGTGCTTAATGATCATGACCAGCGATGTCTAGCTAGAATGGTCTGTGGTAACAGATAAGCGACACTGGCTGAAATCACATCCACATTCAATGCAGGAGGTACCAGACGCATATCTAGCAGTTCAGTGCAGCGTTCTTTAGCTTCCATGGGATATGGGAGCAGAAGACCAACCAGAGATGTTAACACCACAACACTGGACACAGCGCCTCACCTGGGCTTGTGACATGTTAATTGGACCCTGGAGGATTGGCAACGTGTGGCGTGGTCCGATGAGTCACGGTACCAGTTGTTTTGGGCAGATGGTAGGGTTCGGGTGTGGCACAGACCCCATGAGACCATTGACCCCAGTTGTCAACAAGGCACCTTGCAGGCTGGTGGTGATTCCATACTGGTGTGGGGTGTGTTCACATGGCATGAGTTGGGTCCACTTGTCCACCTAAACACGTCATTGACCGGTGACCGCTACGTTACACTGCTTGATGACCATTTGCAGCCCTTCATGGACTTCATGTACCCCCACAACGATGGGATATTCCAGCAGGACAATGCACTATGTCATTGGGCCGGAGTTGTCCAGAGTTGGTTCGAGGAGCATTCTGGAGAGTTCCGACGAATGGTGTGTCCACCACGTTCGCCTGACATGAACCCAAGTGAGCATTTATGGTACATGGTGGAGAAGTCCATTCGCACCCAAAATACTGCACCTACAAATACCAGGGAGCTGTGGGCAGCTATTCAGACGGCATGGCTCAACATCTCTCCAGAGGTTTTCCGTCCACTTGTGGAATCGATGCCACATTGAGTTGCTGCACTTCGCCGGGCTAGATGGGATCCTACATAATACTGTGTACCTATCCCATGACTTTTGGTACTTGAGTATATAAATATATATATATTATAATTTACTTTACTACGTCTATATTACGAGCCTCATACACAATTTTATATACGCATAAGTATGAATATTCCAACTTGTCCGTGGAAACGAAACAAAAAACAAATCACAAACCAATGACTGACACGTTGATGTAAAAACACCAACAGAATTTTATTCTTATTTTATATCATACTTCTGTTTTATATAACTTGATTTTTGTATTTTTTACATCAAGTGTTCTTATATATTTTAATAATATTGTATCCAATCTTGTCGGTGCTGTGGTTCAGTAGTGTGTATATGTGTGTAAATCATGTGTTTGCCTGATGATGGCTATCAATAGCCGAAACATGTAGCAGGGCCGAAAATGGTCTGATCTTGATATTAGTTGTGTTGTGACAGATATAATAAAAAGTTTGTATAGTTGCTGTAAGGACTGCACTTCCCCAGCTCCAAAAATAGTAGAAAACATGAATATAATGCAAATGTATACCTTTAGTAGAACAGACTACAAAACCATTAACTTGTCTCAAGTAAAAATATGAGCAAAGAATTAGAATCTATGGTGTGAGTAAGCTAGGCGTGTGAAATTTCGTGTGGAGATAACTCATGGATATACCTCATGTAACATTTGTTAAGTCAGTAGTAATGAACACTACATTGCAGAACACTGACTTGATATTGGACAGAATTCACAAAGCTAGAATCTGTACTAATGTATTACCTTTACAAAAATAAAATAATTATAATAGTAGTAGTAGTAATAGATCTGTAGGGCTAGAGATCTCTGCTGTAAGAAAATTAAGAGTTTGTGTTGTTTGGCTGTCTCTTCTTAATGGTAGCAAGTTTTGTGTTTGTCTTTCTTTTGTAGGTATTGCACAAAACCGAAGGAGTTATTAGTTGAATGCAGTCTGCCCACACCAGGGCCTTTGGATGAGATCTTGGAATGCCAGATCAGATCTGCAGTAGCGTTCTTAACTGATCACCGTTATGACCCGTCAGAAGTGTATGAAGATGAATTTCAGGAAGAGCTCAAGGGCATACCAGACCCCAAGAGTGACCCACATAAAATTTTCAGTGACTTTCTACATGTACTTCACACATTAGGTAATTTAGATTAGCTTCCTTTCTGAAGGAAAATGTATTCATGAGAGATAACCATGCTGTCTGTGTCTCCGATCAGTATTTGAGCTCGCTGATCAGGTTTAATGAAATTTGTTGCCAGTGTTACACCATTGGAGGCTACTGTACAGGGTGTTTCACAACTTTAGGGCATATTATTATTATTATTATTATTATTATTCGGAGGGGGTGGGTTACACCATGCACTGCGACCATTTATTGATCTATTGTGTGTCCACATTTTTAATTATTCTAACTAGTCACCATACCCTTTCACTACTGGTGCTCACTATCAGCCCCTTTCTGCCAGCGAGGTCATGCTTCCCTATTGGCCGGAGGAATTGGAAACTACTTGGGCGGGAAACTGCCTAATTTTACTCAGAAGTCTCCTAGAGGCATGAGGATCTTTTACGTGCCGTAAATCTACGACATGGGACACACGGCTTAAAGTCCCTCCTGGAGGACTTGTTCCCTGAATTTTTCTGCCCTTAAGAATTCCACGAACCCGCGTACCCTGAAGCATGAGGTGGGAACGTTACCCCTAGACAACAGAGGCTGCTTACTTTAGGTGCAGGAGGTGATTTCCTAGGTCTTTGTAATCAAAAAAGTTAATATAAACATGTGTCTGATTTAGGACGGTTATGGAGTTATCACCATTTTAAACTCAGAATAGAAGGTAACGATTACTGACAATAAATGGAACAAAATAATAAACCAGCATAATACATGATACATTTAAAATATGAATGTAAAGTTAACTTTGTGAAATTACCTTTAATTTGAATTTATTGGTACTTAAAGCTGATTTTTGAAAATGCCACCACCGGCTGCAACACAGGCTGCCGCTTGGTTGTGAACCATGTGGGTAGCATGTAGCAGCTTCAGCTGGCTGTTTCTTATGTGGTCAGCGGCGTCCAGAATGCGACCGAGGAAAGCATCTCACGGTGTACCATACGAACAATGCCTTCTTCATTGACGCCTTCATTAACACCATGCTCGGCTGCAATACGAACGCTGGGAAGTCTACCGGTATCTCGCAATGCCTGGTAAACTCCAGTAAACCCTCTCCGGTTCGGTATTCTACGTTTCGGAAACCATTGCTGATATTCAGCTACAGCAAGAACTGAGTTACCGTCACAAAGCCTGTACACATAAATCGTATCTGCATACTCCTCAACTGAAAATGTAAATGGCGTTGTGAACGTAACAGACACACCGAGATGAGAACTGTTCTGAACACCAGTAGCTGCCACACTAGCCGTGGCAGGACATACCAACCCACCACACCTTGGGTACCTCCCAAGTGTTGAGATAACGAGAACGCTCTATAGCTGGCTAAAAATAGAGACCCGCCAGATGATAGATGCGGTTCACATGAGGGCATGTACGGGAATGAAAAAAAAAAAACGGTCATAACTCTGTAACCGTCCAAAATCGGACACATGTTTATATGAACTTTTTTGATCACAAAGACCTAGGAAATCACCTCTTGCAGTTATGCCCTAAAGTTGGGAAACACTCTGTCTAATTTCTGGTAATTGATTACCAGAAACCTGATGGGCCCAGAAACTTGTGAGGTGGGAGTGACAGTCAAAGGTCCGGACGTGATTTGAGATGTTTGTATATGCTCAGTACTGTAAGCATTTTTAAAGTCATTCCATTAATCCTTTGACTGCAAATCCCCACCAAAGCATCCAGTGAGGACAGCCATTTCGCACAAGAAAGAGAAATTAGGGGACCAGGAAAACTTGTCTGAATTCATGGAATTTACAGTGAGCCTTGAAACATGATGTACATGTAGAATTTTGGTGGAAAACAACTTGGTTTTCTAAGATGGTAATGGGAGATAATCATACTTTTCACTGTTAAGCCTACTGAGACCTGTAACATGTTACAAAACAGATCCCTTCCATTGTACGATAGACACATAATTAATATCTTATAGTAAGATAAAGTTGTCCCTGTGCTTAACTAATTGAGCACCATGCCATCAAGGTGTGTGGGGAGTGGATGTATAGATCCACATATTCTTGGCCTCAGCACTAGTTGGAGGTGAGTGGTCAGCTTCAGGCCCCTGCCGTGAAAACTCTTGCCCCACCAGGGCCCCACCACCTCCAGCCCGTAGCCAGTTGCTATACTGACTGAGCTGTCCTGGCTCCACATAATTAATATTTTGCCTTAGTAAAATATGTTGAGGCTGTAAAGATGTCCAGTGATGTGCTTTCCATTTCCATTAGAATTGAACAAGTTATTCTCATTACGATTCATACCAAACTGAAACTTTTTTTTATTTTTTATGGCTAAAGTGGAGGGAATGTTATATGGATATTTATGTGTAGTTCATTTAATGGCGCTGGCTGTAGCCCCAGACTGCATGGTCTCATGTTGTAAGATGATTAATCAATCATAAACTGGAAAGACATGGAACAAGCAGTCATGGCCTGATCTGAGATACCATCTAGGCGTTTGTATGGAATGACTTAAGAAAGACATGAAATGTCTCAGTCATTATAGGCAGTATCCATGTCGAGGTTTGAACCCAGGAATGCCGTTCGCTCAACTGTGGCATTCAGTGTCATGTGGGTAGTGGTGCTGGGAGGCCATTACTGAGTCTAGTGGCAGGATTTTTTGTTATTATTTGGATGAACTTATGCTCTGAAGGGACAATGTCCATTTCTGAGAGGATTAATTTTGCAATATGGTGTCTGTATATAGTCAGATATGCATACTTAAATGGTAGCGTGCATTTGAATCTACTTTTTGTTTGGTGCTGATTTAATCAATTATAAATTTGTGCAGGTCCTTGGTGTGCTGATCGGGCAGCCTTGGTTTTGCTGATCCAGCTTGAGAAGCTCAAAGTGAAAACACCATATGAACGTCACTTCCTGCTTCTGTGTGTTGTGTCTACAGTTATGGTAAAAATCAGGTAAATTTATGATAGTTACAAAACTATAATTGTGACAGGAACAAAGAACTCATCTGCATGTGTGTGTGTTGGGAGGGGGGGAGGCTAGAAAATGCTGACCCTCAGTTTTGGCACATGCTTATATACTGTGGTGAAACTGGACTCTGTGCTGGAGGCCAGAAAAGTAATTTCTAATTTTAAAAGTGGCAGTTTGTATTTTTTGATTTGAAAAACAAATTGTTATGTTTGTTATGAAAGGGCTGGAGGGTGTTATGGTATTTCTGTCAAGGAGAGGCTCATAAATATAGTATAACTAGGATGAGATGTGACATGGGAAAATCCATTCACATTTCTGGATCGAATTCGTGAAAGATGTATACAGGATCCCCCGTGTTATCTTATTTTCTAGAAGTTTCATTTGAGGAACTGTTGGTCTCAGTCTTTCTTCTATTGTCTGTCAGCATTTTCCTTTTTGTATTCATTTTGTGCAAGGAATTGAAACAGAATGTCTGATAGAGGGGTGTGGAATGGCTACAGTTTCTTGAAACAGAATCAGAATGCCATTGTACTCAACTCCAAGAATTTCTGTGCCTGTCGTGCTTAAACACACAGCAGAACTCCAATCTCTATACTGCAAAATTTTCAGTGGTGAGAACTTAGAAAAGAAGTATAACTTCTTCAGAAGTAGCTTCCATGACAGTGATACATTTGTGTTGTGAGCACGGGCATACAGTAATATTAGTAATATATCAGCGGCAATATAGAATAGTTGGGCTGTGTTCTGTGTCAGATGTTTAAGTACTTCTGCAGTAACACTGAACAGGTTGGTTTAGGGCAGCACTGTAGACTTTTATAATTGGGAGGTACTTTGCTTGATTCTCAACCAGGACACCACCGATATCCTGTCATGTGTTTCGTGGTTTTCTTCAGTCCTTCAAGGTAAATGCCAGGATAGTACTTCAATTATGCCATGACTGCTTCCTTCCAAATCCTTTCAAGTTCATCAGTCCTACCATGTGATGCTACATAGTCCAGATACTCAATACATCATTAAATAACCCATGAAAAGGGGAAAAAACACCCCATTACAGTGGCTCTTCAAAATACATGCTGACTAAAATTTATTCATCAAATTACAAACATGACATGAAGTTCCACAAGATATATGGAGAAACCATTTGCTGTGTTTGAAAAAATGCCCCATGCAGTTCTGTAGTGCATCTGGTTGTAAAGAAGGGTATGTCAGGAATTCAGTTCGAGGGTACTGCGTTCTTCCTCATGAAAACTGTGCATTGGCAATGCCTTGCAGACCTTAAATTAGTTATTTAATTTGCAGGGGCAGCCTTGAAGGTGCAAGTTCTTCTCATGTTCGTAGACTGATGGTGTGCTGTGTTGTCATGTATCATATAGTTGTTTCGACCTTGTAAGGTTGTTGTCAGGTAGATCATATATGTAGTTACTGCACTGTATTGTTTTTTAGTTCATTGTTCAAAAACATGTTTAATATTATGTCTTAAATTTTTGCTGAATTTTGTTAAAATTAATTAACATTTCTTTTACTTTTTCAGTTGATGTTTTGTCTTGTTAGTAATCCGAACTTCTTGAATTGTAGTGTGGATTCTGTATGGTGTCTTGTTATGATGTTGAGCGGGTGTGTTGTTCATGAGGTTGTTGATGTTCAGTATGTCGCAGTATTGTGTGTTTTTTTGTGGTTGCTGGTTGATTACTGCAAGGCAGAACATGTAGAAGAAACAGCTGTAGTACATGACAATGTAGCACACCACCAGTCTACAAACAGAACAAGAAGTTGCATCTCCAAGACTGCCTGTGCAAATTAAATTTTTAACCATCGCAACGGGATGCTGAAATACACCAGTATTTAAATTAATGGTGGTGAAGCATGTGGAAGAACCCAACAGGTAATGCTGTGACAAGAAAATTTGGTATTTCTGAAGTGAACATCTGACAGTGAAGGAAGTCAAAGGAACAGAGTGAACCAGTTCCACAGGGCAAACATTTTAAGGACTCAGCAAGATGTAGAACCTTAACGAAATGGAAAACCTGCCCAGTTCTCTAGTACTGGTAAAGATGATTTTGTTTTCTTTATGAAATTTAAAATTTGGGTTGGGGATTTTCTTACTTTTAGGGCAATGTTATATTCAAATTAGTGGGTGCATAGTGAGCTCTGTGTGAAACTTATAATGAACTATGGAGTGTACAGTCTGACAGACAGATATATTTGCAATAACAAGGCGCAGCCCTTGTTCAGTGGCAGTAGGGGTGTGGGAAGACCAGGAAAACAAAGGGGAGATTTGCAAGAGGATGAGGTGTGTACAGTCTGCTGGAAATTATTGTGAACCATTTCTGATACACATTAGTGAAACAGATGTAATGCGTGACTGAGGAGTTAGGGGTTCCAAAAGTTCCGTGGTTGGTCTGCAAAGCTGATAGCCCCCATGTGGATGGTCTAGAGCAGTGCTTCTCAACCGCCGGGCCGCAACCCAGTAGTGGGCCCTGGCATCAATTGTACTGGGCTGCGAGAGGCTCTTCTGGAATTTATCATTTTCATTTTCTAAGCATTTTTCATAAATAAATATTTTATTGTGGAAATATTCGGAGGAGAATAATATTTGTGTCCAGAAGCTCAGACACAGAACACCTAAAGCTGTGTAGCAAATGTCAGTGACCAGGCCGCATATTTTTAAACATGGAAGTATTCATGAATGATTGGGAATTTTCGGACATCCAGATCTTTCAACATTCGGGAGAGGCAATACCGATGTTTATGACCAGTCATAAAAATTTCCTGCAAGCCGATTACAACAATGGGCGGCATATCCTGTGTTCTCACAACTGAGTGAAATAACATCTGTGTTGCAAATGTCAGTGACCAATTAGCAAGGAAGTATAAAGAAAATGTTTCCACTGAAATTGAAGATCAAGGCATTCTGTATCTGGTTCTCAGATCTAGTAATACTGAATACTGTTTCTTTGCAAGTTTGCATTGCAGTGTGTAAGTGCTTGTTTCGAAACCTGAGTGATTTAAATTTTAATATGAATAAGACTTTGTTTAATTTTGGTGTTAAGAAATCTCGTATTGAAGGTGTTTGTGACGTGACAAGTAGCGATACATAGCCTACATAGCGATCTCCAGGATGTACAAAATGAAGGGAAAACCACCAGCACACAAAAGAAAAAGTCTGCATCCATTCGTAAGTACATGGACAGCTACTTAAAATTTGGTTTCATACAGTGCCCTAACACTGACCAATTGCCACGACCTCAATATGACATTTGTGCTACTGTTCTGGGAAATGAAGCTATGAAGCCATCGCGACTTACCCGACATCTCAACACTAGACATTCCAATCTAGTCAACAAACCCATTGAATTCTTTATGCATAAGAGAGATGCAATTAAAGTAGAAAAGAAAATTATATACCAAGCTTCAACCACTGACATTTCACTTCTGACGGCATCCTATTTAATATCGCTACAGATAGCTAAATGTAAAAAAACATATGCCATTGGGGAAGAACTCATTAAGCCCTCTTTGATTGCTGCTTGTAATGAAGTATTAGGCTAGTCTGCGGCAAATAAATTAAAGATACAGTTGGTAGGCGGATATCTGATATGGCAGAAGATAACAGAAACGCAAGTCATTGAAAAAATTAAAAAATCGAAATTGTTTGCATTACAACTGGACGAAACTACAGATATTCAGAACAGCAGCATTTTACTTACGTATGTACGATATATTGACCATGATGAGAGTGACATGAAGGAAGACATTTTAAGTGTTTCTGAATTACCTACGCACACTACCAGTAGTGAAATTTTCAAAGTTTTAAATGGTTTGATTGAAGAGAGGGGTCTTGAATGGAAAAATTGTGTTGGAGTTTGCACTGATGGCGCTGCCTGTCTTACAGGTAGAAATTCAGGTTTGGTCACTAAAATTAAGGATATGGCGGGCAATAACTTAGTGTCAACGCATTGCTAAATTCATAGGCAAAACCTGGCCTCCAAAAAAATGGCACCTGAGCTTAATGAAGTTCTGTCTCAGTTTGTTAAGATTATTAATTATATAAGAAACAGTGCTTTAAATACAAGACCATTAAAAGCATTGTGCGATGAAATGGGCTCTGATCATCAAAATCTTCTTTTCCATTTGGAAGTTCATTGGTTGTCCCGCGGTAAAGTTCTGAAGAGGTTGAGGAGTTGAGCTCTTTCTAATTGATAAGAAAAGTAACCTGTCCCATTATTTCCACTATAAGAAATGGGTAGCCAGGCTGGCGTATCTCAGCGACATATTTTCTTACATGAACGAGTTGAATTTAAAACTTCAAGGTCCAGATACAACAATATTTAATGCGTGGAACAAGATCGAATCATTCAAAAAGAAACTCAAACTTTGACTTAATATGATTGCAGAAGGAAACAGTGAAATGTTTCAGTCGTACTCAGATTATATTATGGAAGCAGATGATTTCTATTCACAGAATTCAGTTTCAGATATTATTGCAGCCCACTTGAAGATGATGTCATTTGAAAAATATTATCCCAAACATGAGGATCCCCGAGGGCAAAATATGTGGCTTGTGAACCCTTTTGTTGAACACAAAGAGAAGAAACCCTTCAACTTATTGAATTATCATCGGACAAAGGACTGGAAAGTACTTTTATTACTACAAGTAATTCGAAATTCTGGATAAGAATGAAAAATTAATATCCAAATTTACATGAAATAGCAGTGAGGTTTCTTCTTTGTTTTTCCACCACATATCTTTGTGACACTGCATTTTCTGCCATGACTGCTTAAAACGAAACAGAGGAACTGCCTGCAATTTTCTGACTGTCTCCATTTGGCTCTCACTTGAATTCATCCCAGAATTAATAAGCTAATGGATGGAAAACAGAAACAGAAGTCTCACTAGCCTAACTAAAACCTTCCAAACTCAGTTGTGATAAAATAAACTAAGTTTAACTTTCCAATAACTTATAATTGCTGAGTTAAAGTGCTGCATCTTTAAAATCAAAATATTAATTATTGTTGGAAGTAGTGTTTAGAATTGAGAGATTCTTACATTTTTATTTATCAAATTACATACTTTACATATATAATTATTTGGCGTGTGTGTGATAATAAGTGTTTCGCCGGCAAGTTTACATTCTTCTGCTTCTTCCCCTACTCACCTGACTTCTGTGGTGAGTTACAATGCATAAATATTTTTCTCACTGCCATTTTTTTCAAACCAACATCAATAAAATCAATTTAATAATACAATAATCAATTTTACACTGAATAACAAACGTTTTTGGTGATCAGCATGGGATATGTTGATGAAAATTAGCACAAATTAATTTAATGATGTTGGTTTGAGGAAACTACAAAATGCTACAAGATTTCATTAGTCCAGTGATTGTTAACTAATATAAATGTAACTTTATGTTTGTCAACATACCACACCATATACACATAATACTCTTTATGATTATGCTATAATTAATTACTAATATTACGTTAGCTTAATGCATGAACTTTAACAAAACTGGAAAGGTATTTTCGAGTAAATTTGTTGGGATGGGGCCGCGGTCTCATAAAGGTTGAGATCCGCTGGTCTAGACTCTGTTATATAGAAGCAGAAATAATGTGTTAGGAATGCCCATGAAGATAAAAGTCGAGGCATGAGTTGGGCAGCAAATAGTTTCATTGATAATATTAGTAATGATTCTCTTTATTTTAGGGCAATTTGTGATGACTACTTCCAACAATATGATGAAAAGGATAGAATCTACAGATTCTCATCCCCCAAAGTTTTACGACTCCTGGATATCCTGCGCCAGTTCAAGCCAGAGAAGTCTCCCAACGACAGGCAAGAAGAACGTGAATCAGATTCACTGCCTGAGGTTGAAGGCACAGAAATGAGTAAGTGCGTGAGTGGAGGTGTGGCTCCAGTGGAAGGTGGACATGATACCAAAGTACAGTCAACCAAAGAGAATGAAACTGTGTTGTGTGAGAACGGAAACCAAAACAGTTCAATACTGAATGCATGCAAGAACAGCAGTTCTGAGGAAGCGGTCTGTTGTGGTTGTGAGAAGCAGAGGGAACGTACCAGTGATATGGGGTGTGTACAACAACAAGACGCAGAAAGTGTTCCTAGCAATGTCAAACAGTTAGAAGTGTTGCGTGAGCAGCAAGGACGTCTCAGTTGTGAGGGAGACTGTCAGGTGCTTACTTGTAATAACATTGGAGTTTTGACTGTGGATTGTGTTGCAAGCAAATTGTGTTCTGATTCAGCAAATAAGGTTCACATTGCCCAGCTTGTGACATCGCTTGAAAAGTGTACTAATTGCAAAAGAGAATTAAGTGATGTGAAGAGTACAAGTATTCCATTGGTGTGCAAAGTATTGGACTCCAACAAAAATGGTAAAATATCTGTGATAGATCCTTCATTTGCAAACTGTAACAGTAATAATGGCTGTGATAAAGTTGGAAACGAAATTAGCAAAGAGCACTCAGTGAAGAGTGCTGAAGTGAGGAGTATGCCCATTACACCTTCAAAGAATCGTACAGATCTTTATTCACGGAACAGGGGTTCTAGGTTCTCACGGAGAGGTCACCAGAAGGAAGATGGAGGCGGATGTCTACGAGGAGCCAGAAATGATACGACCGGGCGTCAGTGCCGGAATGTGCAGCAGGATGATTTGGATGCCCTGTGTGGGATTCTTTTTGTGGAGCGGCGGTTTACAGCAAAAATTTTATACCATTTGTTGAATGTAAGTACAGATGAAAATAGATATGGTGCATTTTACCCCAGGTTCTTTGATTTTTTTATGTATCAACTGCAGCATCACTTTGCCAACAGTTGTGAGGTCTAGGTCTGAAGGTGACAAAGAACGCAGCATTTAGTTCTATCAAAATTTTGTGTTCCCTTATGTTAATTACATGTGGAGTGCATGCACCAGCAGCAAGAAGCATGTGATACCGCCACTCATTGCAAGCTCTGCCATAATGATTGCATCTTAATCTTGTCTCCTTCTGACTGTGTATACATGGTTACCTGGCCGTGGGCACTGGCTGGTCACTGTGCTTGTGTTTCGTGAGTTGATGAGGTGTAGTTTAGCTTACTTCAGAAGCCTCAACAGGTCACTTCAAATTGATAAGATATAAATTGGGGATGTGGCAGCACATGAACCTGGAAATTTCCTGATTTGTTACTTAAATTTGTTTGTATTAAGTACAGTTTCTGGCTAAAAGGTGGTGATAGTATAGAACATTTATTTTATTTTAGTGTGCTTCCCCCACCACCTCAAATGTATCTGAAAGTAGAGTTGCATAAACTGTAACCTCACGAATAGATTGAAATGACGTACAGTAGAGAGTGTGGAGTGTGTTGTTAACAGCTGTTGGTGAAAAATAAATGAGGCACATATTGTCCTGTGATGTAGATAAATGTATCAGAATTTTATGCAACTGCAGCATCTGAAATGGTGGCCCTTTGTACACAAAATGATGAACCTTCAGGGGGGTCCAAAAGAGCAGAGAGTTTCTTGACCTGCCTAGTGCATTACATCTGCCCCATGGACTCACTAGGTGGGTTACATGTGAGAACCAGGCACGTGCTTGTTCTGTCTTCTAGTCATTTTCTCCGCAAGTGTTCTAAAATTTATTATATTCTGTTGATACAATTTAAACCTTGTGGTATGTAAATTTTGCAGGATATAAGACGATTTGATGATGACTTCTCATTCATCATGGCCCAGTATACTGTCGACAAAGTTTCTGATCCCTTGACGGATCCGCGTGAAGCAGAAGCCGAACATCGTAAGCAGGAAGAAGTACTCAAGAGGTAACATATTTTCATACCACATCCTCTTACCCTGTTCCAGTTTTATTCATGATACTTTTATATTTATGTCACTCTGTGTTGCTATGCACTGAAAGAATTGAAATATCTTCAGCAACTGAATAAATTTACACTCTGTACTTATTTTAAAGGTTTCGCATGAGAGAATGTAACCTGTTGGTGGGGACATCAGTTCTGGAGGAAGGAATTGACATTCCGAAGTGCAATCTCGTTATTCACTTCGATGTGCCGCAAGTGTACCGATCCTACGTGCAGTCTAAGGGTCGTGCTCGAGCCCAGGACGCATATTATATCCTGATGATAGAAGAGGATAGAACAGAGTGCTTTGTGAACCAGTTGGCACAGTACTTTGAAATTGAACAGGTAGGGTGTGCCAGGTGTGAACATGAGCCAGCTTATGGAACCATGCAGTGGAAAATGTGTGGGAACATTCCTCTTAAAAGACATAACTTCCACATTTTGTTCCAAGTTTGTGATGTGCATGCACTATCTGTTGCCGGACAACATACAGCTGCAGGGGTCGCAGTCAGCAGGGTTCTTTTTGAGACCCCAGAAATGTGTGAATCAAAGTAGCGGTTCACTACATCTGTTTTGGGGGACACACTGCAGTGTGGTTGGTTCAGGCACTCTGCTACAAGCTCGAAGACCACAGGTTCAATTCCTGTTGAGGTCATTGGATTTTTCAATTGACCTAATCCTTCCAGCCGCACTGTGGCCCTGGGGTCGACCCAGCCTCTAACACATGATTACGAGGAACCAACCTGTGGGTTAAAGGGCGGCCGGCACGTTTGGGCCTTCACGACCTGTTACAGGGGTAGCTGTACCTCTTACCTTACATCTCCTTTATGATAGTTTCCCATACTAGTATTAAGAAATGTTATATATAACTTGTTCTGAGAATATATTGAATAATTAGTCATGGACAGCTGACAAGGGGTTGTCCTCCAGCTTGGGGTTTGGGTGTGGGGCTGACAACTCATCACAATAAAAAATAAGCTTGTTACAAAAGACCATGAGAAGCCTTGGACCTGAACGGTTTCCCTTGATAAACGACCTAAGCGAAAGAAAATGGATATGAGATCTGGTACTTGGAATGTTAAAAGTATGTATAGGGCAGTGGAGGAAGAAATCTCAAAATGTAAGGTGGATTTAATGAGAGTGCAGGTCAGAAGGGACGGAGTTGGCACCGAACCAGCAAGCGAATGTACATTTTACTATGGGAAGGGGAATGAAAATCATGAATTAGGTACAGGGTTTTCATACATAAGAGAAACATATCAGCAGTTACAAGGGTAGAGTTTGTTAGTAATAGGATGTCATACATAATACTCAGAGATCGTTGGTGTAATGTCATCATTCTGAATGTCCATGCCCCAACAGGAGGTAAAATTGATGATATGAAGGACAGGTTCCACAAAGAACTAGAACATATATTTGATAAATTCCCTAAATACCATATGAAAATTTTGTTAGGAGATATCAGTGCCAAAGTAGGGAAGGAAGACATTTATAAACCAACAATTTGGAAAGAGAGTTTGTACAAAATTATTAATGATAATGGAGTTAGAGTTGTAAACTTTGCCACATTCAAAAATCTTATTGTCAAAAGGACAATGTTCCCATATTGGAACATTCATTTATTTACTTGGAAATCACCTGATGGAATGACTGACAGTCAACTTGACCATAATTTTATAGATAAGAGACAGCATTCAAGTGTACTCGATATCTGATCATTCAGGGCAGCAGATTGTGATACTGACCACTACCTGGTGGTGGCAGAAGAGAGAGATTGGCCGTGAGTAAACAAACAACACACAGAGTTCATATGTAGAGATTGAGTCTCAAGAATAAACAAGGTAGAGGGTAAGGAGCAGTATCATGTTGACATCTCAGATAGGTTCGCAGCTTTGATAAACTTAGACACTGCGGTGGATGTTAATAAAGAGTGGAAACTCTTAGAGAGAATATATAAAGTCTGCCAAAGAGAGTCTAGTTTATTATGAACTGAAGAAGCATAAGCCATGGTTCAATGAAAGATGCTTAAAATTATTACACCAGAGGAAACAAGACAAATTGCAGTGGTTACAGGATCCAAGCGAAATAAATGGGGATAATCTGAACAATATAAGACGTGAAACCAGCAGGCATTTCAGGAATAAAAAGAGGGCCAAGACACAATTGATGAGCTTGCAATGAACAGTAAGAACAAGAACGAGACCTGTATAGAGGAATAAATTACTTTAAGAGGTACACCAACATAGCAGTAACTTAGTGAAGGATGAGAATGGTGATCTGCTTGCAGATTCCCACAACATTTTGAACAGGTGGAAGAACTACTTCTCTTAGTTATTGAATGTATATGTACATGTGATATTAGCCAGATAGAAATACATGCATCTGAACCGTTAGCACCTGATCCTAGTCCTTTTTTGAGGTTGAAATTGCTACTGCAAAATGGGAAAGGTATAAATTGCAAGGTAATGATCAAATTCCGGAAGAACTTGTTCAAGCGGGGGGTGAAGTATTATGTTCTAAGATCTATAAGCTAATTAATTCTATCTGGAATAAGGAAAAATTGCCTGATCATTGGAAGGAGTCTATTATTGTACCAGTTCACAAGAAGGGTGATAAAACTGACTAGTAATTACCGGGGGATATCACTGCTATCAAATTCATACAAAATTTTATCCAATATTCTTCAGTCAAGGTTAAGTCCATATATAAATGAAATTATTGGGGATCATCAGTGTGGGTTTCGACGTAACAGATCAACTACAGATCAGATCTTTTGCATTCTGCAGATATTGGAGAAAAAGTGGGAGTACAATGAGACAGTACACCAGTTATTCATAGATTTCAAGAAAGCCTATGAGTCAGCTAGGAAGGAAGTATTATACAATATTCTCATAGAGTTTGGGGTACCCATGAAACTAGTTAGGTTGTTTAAAATGTGTTTGTGCAAAACATGTAGTACAGTGCGTAGGTGAACACTTGTCTGATAATTTTCCTATCCAGAATGGTCTACAACAAGGACATAACTTTATCACCACTGCTTTTCAACTATGCTTTAGAATATGCCATTAGAAAGGTCCAAGAAAACCAGGTGGGAGTGATAATAAAGGTACCATAAAGAAAAACACAGACTTTAATGTACACTAGGAAGGAAGTTGGTCTAGAAATAAACACAGAGAAAACTAAGTATATGTTGCTGCCTCATCACTAGAATGTGGGGCAAATCATGATATAAAGATAGCTTAACAGATGTTTTGAAGATGTGGCACAGTTCAGATATTTGGGAGCGACCATAACAAATCAAAATCTGATTCAGGAGGAAATTAAGAGGAGATTGAATTCGGGTAATGCTTGCTACTATTCATTCCAGAACCTTGTGTCTTCTCATCTACTGTCTAGAAACAGAAATTGGAACATACAAAACTATAATTTGCCTGTGGTTCTGTGTGGGTGTGAAACTTGGTCTCTGACATCAACGGAGGAACATAGACTGAGAACAGGGTGTTTCAGTAGGACAAAATAGACAGACTTGAAAGGATTCTGACGATGGTGTATACTGTACTTCTTTTGGCTTATTTTGGACTTCACCCATCGTCCGGTATATAAAAAAGACAAAAAACCACAACATTTCGGAGACTGGATCTGTCTCCATCTTCAGGTGTATAGGGAAGGTTTAACCTACTCAGTTGGGCCCCTTAGAAAGAGCTAGTCTCAATCACTGGACAAACCTTGATCTGTAGAAACAACCTATGAACAACCGACAACCGGTTCCGTCAGTGGGAGGAAAGAATAAAATCGCAGTAAAAACATGATAGAAAATTTGTGCCAAACATGCACTTGTCAACAATGTAAAGAAACAGAAGTATGGGTTATATTCCATGAATTCAGTTAAAAACGAAAGTAAAAACTGGATAAAGCATGCCTTATCTGCATGGATAAAGAATCGTGCCACCATGGCGACTTCCGGGAATCAGACTAATCTCCGGAAAAAAACTTGCAGTAGTAGTGGAACCACTAATATTCATGAAATTACATTTTTTGGTTTATTAACCTCTTCATTGATGAGGGGGATCCATATAGGAGAAATATCCAAACTGGGTTGGCTGATCGGATTGGATGAACATGCCATATGAGCTGATTCTTTGTATTTCCTGTATCTACTGTTGCTTTCAATCTCCAAGATCCTAGCTTCATCCCAGCTGACCCTGTGACCTTCTTCATATGCATGCTGAGCCAACCTGGATTTCTCTAGAAGACCCTGCTTAAGATTGTGCTTGTGTTCACGGATTCGAACAGCCAGTGGTCTTCCTGTTTCACCAATGTAGCTTCTGCCACATTGACAGGGAATGCTGTAGACGCACTGTGCCGTGTGTTGAGGATCCCTTTTTGGTTTCGTTCTCACGAGCGAAGATCGTAAAGTGTGTTTAGTTTTGAAGACGGTTCTAATATTGTACTGGTTCCCTATGCGCTTGAACTTCTCAGAGATTCCCTTGACATACGGGATGTACACCGTGCCAAGAGGCTTTTCCTCTTTTTTCTTTTGACGACTACCGCCCTTGGACCTGATAACCGAGTCAATAAAGCCCTGAGAGTAACCACTCAGTTGAAGGTCGCGTTTCAAACTTTTAACCTCCAACACCCGGTCTTGCCGGTCTTGGCATATAGTGGTAGCTCTATCATGAAGGCTATGAACAATTCCTCTTTTGACATGCGGAGGGTGATTGAAATTGAAATTAAGATATCTGCCAGTGTTGGTGGGTTTTCTGTGCACTTTCGTGGTCAGAGCTGTCCCTTTCTTCATGACCAAAACATCCAAGAAGGGGATCGTTCCCTCCGATTCTATTTCCATGGTGAACTGGATAGCCGGTCTCAGACTGTTGAGGTGTGTAAGGAAGTTCTGTATCCCCTCTGCACCATGCGGCCAGATCACAAATGTGTCGTCCACATATCGGAGCCACAACGACGGTTTGTCCTGCGCTGAGTCGATAGCCAGTTGTTCAAAATGTTCCATGTAGATGTTGCTAACAACGGGAGAAAGGGAGCTACCCATTGCNGACAGTTTGGTCAATTCCAAAACATGTCAGTGTGTGATAACGAGCACTATTGTGCGTCTGTCCATAAGTGGCTTTGCATGGTACAGTATCCGCTTACTCTCTTGAACAGTAACAATGCTGCTGTAGTAGTATGAAGTAGTGAAATGCTTAATGCTATTTCAGGTTTCTTTTTAATTTTTTTTTAATTCGCCTAATGGGGGGTGGAGTCCAACTGGGTCCACTCAGCACGGTGGCCACTGATTGGCCTATTGTAGCCTGCCCCGGGTGATTATGATGATGGAGCATTTGGTGGAATGAAGATGGGCAGGGAAAACTGAAGTACTCAGAGAAAATCCGCCCCAGCGCCACTTTGTCCACCACAAATCCCACTTGACCATACCTGGGATCGAACCTGGGCTGCCGTGGTGCGAAGCCAGCAACTAATCGCTTGAGCTATGGCGCGGCCTATTTCAGGTTTTGTCTCCCTATTAGTTCATATTGACTTGCATATTTCAAGCCCTCCTTCGGTGCTGCACGCTTTTACATCTACATAATGTAACCAGTATACTTTTATCTCTGTTTATACACATTATTTCTTGTATGGATTTCATTGTAATTATGCCTCATTGTGTTTGATTGCCTTTTATTATTCCAGTGACCTTTCTTGGGCACATTGAGAAAATTATTATTCTTAAATCTAGATGTGTCATTTTTCATTTCCCAGATGCTGCTGAGGAAATGTGCAAACCGTGAACCATCAGAAGAAGAGGAGTTGGAAGCAGATAAGTATACGGCTCTTGTAGAGGCGTACTGCCCTGGTGACAGCCCACACAGCCCCTCAGTGAACATGTCAACAGCTGTGGCCCTCGTCAACAGGTATGTATTGGGGTCAGATGCAACTTGATTCTTCTTGTAATTCTGTATTTCAGCATCCTGTTGCACATTTTTAATTAACATCTATGTATTAAGTCCGTCAATAATGCAACAATCATTCACTGTTCAACATCAACATGTCATGTTTCAGCAACAGATGGCCATCCTCAGGTGTTTCAATGCGTCTAAACTGTTACACTATTTTGATGTGCACTAAAATTACACATTGCATTCCACTCAAATTAAAATCTTTCGCAAAATCCTATCCACCTCGTAAAGTGCGTCATCCACTTGTTTAAAGCTGTGTGATGCATATATTCCAGACAGTTTGTTTTAGCAGCTACATCTGCAGTCTGCCCCATGCTTGTGTGTTGTTCTCTTGAGCAGCGTATGGTGTTGTCTTCGCTAGTGCCTATTAACATCTGGAATACATGCATCACATAGCTTTAAACAAGTGGACAACGCCCCTTACGAGGTGGAATAGGATTTTACGAAAGGTTTTAATAGAAAAATTTTAATGAATTTTAAGTAATTATTTATGTTATTTTAAGTGGACTGCAGTGCACAATTTTGGCACGCACTAAAGCAGTGTAACAGTTTGGACGCATTGAAACACATGAGGATGGCCATCTGTGGCCCAAACATGTTGTGTTAGTGTTAAATGATGAATATTTTAATGATTGTTGCGTTATTGATGGACTTAATACATAGACGTTAATTGAGTCTTCTTACTTGGACCTCAGTATCATATACAACAGTATTCTTAGGTGCATGAAACATTGACAACAGATCCCCATAATAGGGTGTTTTAGAAACTGAAATGTGTAAATTGCCTCAGAAATGACACTAGATATTTAATATCTGATTTTTTAAACAATTCATCCATTATCATCATCATCATCTTCATGGATTAGGCCATGTGTGGTCTGTTCCATCCTCTTGAAGTGTGTGTTCGTTTTTTCATCTTAACTGCAGGCACCCTGTGTTCTGTTGTCATATTCCATTGTACATTAGAATTTTCTTTGGAATTCATCTGTCCTCAATATGTAGGATGTAGTATTTCCACTGTGATCTGGATTTTAGAATTGTATTAGATTAAAAACATTTAGCTCTTCCATAATTTTAGGCTTTCCTATTTTTTCCTTCTGTATAGCCTGCTACACTCAGAAAATGTTAATTTTTGCTTCTGCCCCCCTTCCCTCTTTTTAATCAAAATTTTGCATCCATATGTATGTATAAGTGCTTCACCTCTCTATCTCTTATGGTCTTGCTGTTACTCAGTGTTCTTTTCATTGTGCTGCACTTTTGGTTAAATCTGACTTCATGGAGGCTGAAAGCTGCCAGTTATGCGGATACTCAAGAATTTCCCAACGTTTTATGGAACCTGAAGGTCCATTACTGTATTCACAAGAGTATTTGGTTAAATCTATTCTGTTTATTTCAAAATCTGTGTTGTTTATTACTGTAATTGTGTATCCTAAGTAATTAGAACAATTTACAGTTTCTTTATCAGTTATGTGATCATATATCAATATAGCTTTACCTATTTTACTTGACATTTTCATGTGTTGAAGGATTACATTCTTTTGCATGTTTATGTACCTGAATTTGTGTTCATTCTAGTGGGCACAAGTGAATGCTATATCTCCTGAACCACATGCATGCCCTGCTGTGATAATGCTATGTGTGGGGCTGGTAGAGGTGAATTTTTCTGACCAGCACAAAGATCAGAAAATGTTATGTTCAAGGATGCAGTGTAACAGCTGTAATGATTACACATCACCGAAGCACTCCTGTAATCATTGTCTGGAATGACTCTGTTCTAGATATTGTGCCAAGCTCCCAAGTGACACATTCACACGCCTCACACCGTTATGGTCTGTCACAGTCATCCCTGATAATGGGCAGATGGCGTATGTTTGTACTGTCCGGCTGCCTATCAATTCTCCTGTCAAACAGGACATTGAGGTAAGAGTTCCAGTTCCAAGAAGCAGTAGATGTAGAGAAAAGTGGTAATGCCCACATCATGGTGTTGCAGAATGTCTTCAGCTCACAATTCATAGGATATATATGTCCGTATCACCACAACAAATCCGTCATAATTATCGTGCGGTACAGTGTCTTTTGCTGTCTTTTAGTCCGTGTAGTTCATGGAGATGCAGGTGAATCAAATCCTGCACTACTGTAGGTGGAGGGGGGATTGTAGCTTGGTGGGGGAGTGGTATTTTTATTGAAAAAGTGCAGGACTTTGCCAGCACACATTGCAATAGTGCAACACACAGCTAGAGTAGGTTCTGTCTGAATATATATGGGTCCATAATTATTCCAGACATATGATATACTACTCTGTCCAAAAAGTATCCGACATTGGGCTGGGAAAAAAAAGTTCTGTATCTGGGTGGTTACAGTACCTCATCACCTTCAAAGTAGGCCTCTTGTGACTCCACACACAGCCCAGTTGTCCTTCCATCCCAGGAAGCAATTCTGGAAGGCTTCTTTTGGAGTGGCGTGCAGCGTTCTGCATGATGTCCTCATGGCTGTCAAAACGGCAGCCTTTTAGCGGCGTCTTCAATCTCGGGAACAGCCAGAAATCACAAAGAGCCATGTCAGGAGAGTAGGGAGCCTGGTGAACCTGCGGAATGCCGTGCTTGGCCAGAAAACCCTGGATCAGGTGGGATGAATGAGCTGGGGCATTGTCACGATGCAGCTGCCAGTTGTGTGCATCCCACAGCTCCGGTCTCTTGCGCCGAACTGCATCACGAAGATGGCGGAGGACTTTTTGGTAGTACTCCTTATTGGCAGTCTGGCCTAGTGGTGCGTACTCATGATGCACAATACCCTGGTAATCGGGGAAAAAAAAAAAAACAGTATCACCTTCACATTGCTCCAAACCTGTCATGCTCTTTTGGGCCTTGGGGATATTGGATGCTTCCATTGTGATGCCTGGACCTTGGTTTCCGGGTCATATCTGTACACCCACGACTCGTCACCAGTGATCACAGTCTTCAGGAATTCAGGATCCCTGTTGGTGCACTCCAGCATGTCCTGCACGACCTCAAGATGGAGTTGTTGCTGCTCCGGTTAAAGCAGCTTGGACACAAATTTTACCGCAACTCTTGGCATGCCCAAATCCTCAGTTAAAATTGTGTTTGCGGAACCTCTGCTGATCCCATCCTCATCAGCAACTTCATGGATGGCCAAACGACGGTCCTCTATGATCATTGATCAGTGTTCGCACTTTTTCAATGACATCTGCATCTGCATTTCGGCTCGTTGACGGTCTCCCGGAATGCTGCTCACTGTCCGCCGACATACAGCCATGTTTAAAGCGGTTGAACCACACTTTAATTTTAGTGACCCCCATTGCATCATCGCTGAAAGCCTGCTGAATTTTGTGAATTGTTTCCACTTGGGTATCCCCAAGTTTCTGACAAAACTTAATACTGTATCGCTACTCCAAGCGGTCTCTTATCTTGAGCGAAACGAGAATGCGACAAACACGTGTTACACCACTTCGCTATCTGGCAACCACAGACACATCTGGCAGTGTTGCAAGTCAGCAAAAAATCACTCATGCGCATGAAAGTCCCTTCTACCACTACGCTCAGTTTTCCCACCCCTTTGACCATTACTTACAGCGGAAAAAAATAAAGTCGGATATTTTTGGACATACGGTATGTGATGTACTTTTCACTCAGACCCATTTGATTAATAGTATTTAAAACTGACTATGACATAAAACTAAGTATATGTTGCTGTCTCATCACCAGAATGCAAGGAAAATCATGATATCTCCAGAGAGAAGAGTAAGTGGATCAATACTCTGCCTCTACGTGTATATACATCTCCAAATCTTGTGTGAAAATCTGAAAAACAAAACTCCTTTTCCCGATTTATTATGCTTTAAGTTAAATGTTGCACTCTCCAATTTAAATATTTCAATATACTCTCTCATTGGAGTTGAGTAGGAATTTAAATGCCCTCGGCATTGAAGGGTTAAAGTGTACTTGGAAACGTTATTGAGTCAGGGTAACAGAGTCGCCAGTTTTAAAAAACGTTTCAGTGATGAAAACATGATGTTACACGGTCCTCTGTTCCATGTCTACTGAAGTGGCATACTTTGAACTGTTGAAGGTCAGTGAGCCCTCTCAATCCACACCACCATTGCCCAAACTAGTGGCAATTAAAAATGTTAGGTTTTCCTGCCGGACCCTATATAATTAGAATGATCAAGTCAAGGATGATGAGATGGGCAGGGCATGTAGCACAAATGGGTAAAAGAGGACTGCATATAGTACATTGGTGGGAAAGCCAGAAGGAAAGAGACCACAGGGAAGACCAAGGCGTAGGTGGGTGGACAATATTAGAATGGATCTTAGAGAGAGATAAGATGGGATGGTATGGATTGGATAGATCTGGCTCAGGATAGAGACCAGTGAGGGCTCTTGTGAACACGGTATTGAACCTTCGGGTTCCATAAAATGCTGGGAATTTCTTGAGTAGCTGCACAATTGGCGGCTTCTCAAGAAGGGTTCAGCTTTGTGAGTGAGTGACCATGACATAAAATTGTTTTATTGGCCATAGTATTGTCTGTAGTGGGTGTAATGACACTTGGTAATATGTGTTGTGGGAGTTTCAGTATTTGTAATTTAGAGTAAATCATTAGTTTTGGTCTACTTTTCACTTTATGAAGAACACAAAGTAGGCTTATGAAATTGCCATGCTATCTTGTTTGTTTCCCCATTTTAGCTATTTGAACCAGTTGACTGATTATCATGTATATTGGTATAATGTTATCACATTCGAGGTCATAACAACATAAATATGACTCTTTGTATATATAGTGAACCAGGGTAGCGCAGTTGGTATAGCGACTGCCTACGGGCTGGACAACTGATGGGTCGGAGTTCGAGTGCCGGTAGGGTCAGAACTTTCCCTTCTCCATATTGTCCAGACTGGCTTTGGGGCCCACCTAGCCCCCTATCCAATGGGTACCTGGTGGTCTTTTCCCGGGTGTAAAGCGGCAGGGGCATGAAGCTGACCACTCACTTCCAGATAGTGCTGAGGTCAAGAAAATGTGGATGTATACATCCACTCCCCCATTCGCCTTCATGGCATAGTGCTAAATTACTTAAGCACAGGGACAACTTTACCTTCTTACCTTATGTGTTTGTGTGTGTGTGTGTGTGTATATATATATGTACATACATATATAGATAGCCTCTGTGGTGTAGTGGTTAGCATTCCTGGCTACAGACCAAGAGGTCTGGGTTCGATTCCCGGCGCTACCAGATTTTTTTGGAGAAGTCTGGAACGGGGTCCACACAGCCTCGTGATGATAATTGAGGAGCTATTTCAAGGAAATAGTGGCTCCGGTCTAGAAAACCGAAATTAACGGCTGCGGGGATTTATTACGCTGACCACGGGACACTCTCTATCTGCAAAATTTGGCACTAAACTTTGCCGACAAGTGGCAGTTGCTCGATCGGTATAGTTCGCTTGTGGACTGAAATCTAGGTCATTTTTCTGGATTTTTTCGGTCATCTTATAGGTCATTTTTTAAATATTTTCAGGTCATCCAAATCCGGACCCTGGTTATAACTAATTGTAGTTACGACTTGTAGGTTGTTAATAAAACCAATTACCAATATGAACGGCGTCCACAGTAGCCCAGACACACTACAAGATATATATATATTGTGACATGTTGACCCCTACCTCCCCAGCGGTGACGTAACGCTCGCGTAATAGGCGAGTTCCCGCCCCGCCACTCCCCTCCGCGGTGACGTCAC